TATAGATGCCGGAAAATTGTAAGGTAAGGGAACTAGTCTAGCTGGTCTGCACCCGTTCATGACGTGTAACCAATAGCAAACAAAATTTGGACTGAAAAAATGGTAAATTTGGAGCAGTAGTTGAAAAATAGTTAAGTTTTTCCAACGGTGGTCGGCCGACCATTGTTGGAAATTTATACAAAATACCACTTTTCTTGAAAATGACTTCACACCAGGTGCCATAATTTTACAGGATGATTTAGACTGTCATTTATCAACATCCTAGTAAGGTATTTCGTAAATATTTGATAGTTTTGTTTTTCGATGTTTGCAAATGTTGTATATTCCCTTTAAAGGGAATATACAACATTTGCAAACATCGAAAAATATAACTACCAAGTTTTTACGAAATACCTTACTAGGATGTTGATAAATGACAGTCTAAATCATCCTGTAAAATTATATGGCACCTGGTGTGAAGTCATTTTCAAGAAAATGGCATTTTTGTATCTGTTTCCAGTGGTGGTCGGCCGACCACCGTTGGAAAAACCCAACTATTGTGCAACTACTGCTCAAAATTTACCATTTTTTATTCAGTTCAAATTTTGTTTGCTGTTGGTTATATATTCATGAACGGGTGCTGGCCAGCTAGACTTGTTCCCTTACCTTACAATTTTCCGGCATCTGGATATTGATCCATTTTATCTTTAGTGGAGTCAGGGAACCAGACTACTTGAACGTTTTTTTGTTTTTCTTGATTTTTCCAGCATTTTCGAAGAAAAAACTTCAAACATGTCAGTGTAACAATATTTGATCTATTACACTAACCCCTCAAATAGTTCATTTCTGAAAATTACAGCAAAAGCCAATGATGTACATTCCCTTTAAATAGAGGTACGTGTATATTATTGGGGACAGATTCAGGGCTTTTGATCCACTTGTGGAACTTGAGTGCTTTGTCACCCCTAAAAATCACTGGAACAGACATACACCTGCATCCTGTATACATGGAATTGGACACGATGTGAGCTTGATTGTGTTTGTTGGGGGATGGTTTGGTTTGTTGACGTCCAAATTGACACGGTTCCATTCGGGTGGATAGTAACTTTGTATTGTTGCGGTGCACACATGTACATGTAGGGGAGCATCAGTGCCTGGCTGAAACAGGTTTTCCCCCCATTGTGCCACTTGCACTTACCACTGTTTGTCATACGGTAGATGCACCCCTGCTAAAGGAATCTCTGGGATTTTTTGGCTGTTAGTTTGGTGCCTGCTAGATTTTTCTGACCCAAAATTTGTCATCTGCTTTGTGTTTGTATGATTTCTACCTGTATTAGGATTTGAAACCCATACGTTTTTTTCTTCTGCTATTGGCTGTACAAGTATGACTTGAAAAAAAAAATGGGCCAATGTGGCTTCGAACCTCCCATGCATTAGCAAGGAACAGATGCTTGAACTACATGCATAAAGAGCAATTCATGTACATGTACAGTTGTAAAACTTGAAATGAGCAGTGTTCAATCATTGATGAATTCCTTCATTATTCCTCCATGGTTCAATGTACATGTACCGGTACATGTACATATATAGAGGAATAGGCCTACACGTTTTAAATTCAGTATCGAGGGTAGTAAATGAAAAATACATGTACATGTAGTCATTTACGTAAAATGTGCACATGTGCCTCAGGGGTACATACAGGTACATACAAGCAATGGTCCGAAGTCACCATCCTTCAGAATTTGAGTGCATACATGTACATGTACATATGTATGTGTACATGTACAATAATAAGCTCTGCTGCATATGTACATGTACATGGTTCAATCACACAATGGAGATCAAAGGCCAGTGCATCTATCCCTATTTGCCATCTGGTTCACCCAGAGCAGTATTCTCATCTAAGGCAGAAATCAATCATGCTTTTTTGGCTGCACTTTTGTCAAGCCAGCTGGAAGCAGGGTCTGTTACAGGAAGCCCATGGCTCATTTACACTACATGTACATGTGTACATGTTGTCAATTGTAGCCAGTTTACTAGTGTGCGGGTACTGTACGATAGTCTATGAAATAATAGATGCTCGCCAAGTGAGCCTCTGTCATATGCATGCAGATTTGGCGTTTATTTATTCAAGACTTGGACTTTCCCTGAAATCCAAACAAAAAAATGGGACAGTGCCAAGGTACAGGTATGTACCCATTTTTTGGAAAATGGTCTCTTTCTGTTTAGGCCAAATAAAAAACAAAACATGTTTAGTGTCCCCGCCCGCTTCCTTTTTGAAGGCCGCCTTCTTTAAAAAAAAAACACACGAAAAAATGATAAATTATAAATAGTGACATCATTTCGGCGTCTTTGTCTGTTGCCCATGTAAAGCTGGTATGTCATTCCTGAGTCCAAGTGATGGTCATTTAAAAAAACAACTGGCGGCCATCTTGAAAAATAGCCTGGTCGGGCACCCATTTTGGAAGGGGGGAAAAAAAGTGCCTCCTATCTTTTAAAAAAAAAGGCAGGACGCTAAACAAGTTTTTTTATATTTGGCCTTATGTGCAGCATACAGGTTTCGGAAATGTGCAATTAAAACTTTTTTGTTTGTTTGCGTAAGTTGATTTTTTTTCTTTTATTGACCCAACTAATATGCAACCAATCTCAGTGTTTGTTTCCCATGTAAATCAATGCACCAAATGTGAAATGAAAATCAAGGGACTTCAATGTTATCTCAAAAAATAATAATAGTTTTTGTTTACCTTTGCAAAGTGCACCATGTACCTAAAAGGCATGTTACCGGCACATGTACATTTGCAGAGGGTATGCTTACATACATACATGTACAGTGTACATCTACATTTGTACCTGTATCGGTATTAAATTGACAGCATTGAACAATATTTCTTGGTTGGTTCTTGGTTGGTTCTTCTTCTAAATACTCCACGTGGGAGTTTATACAGGAGACCAGAAACACCGGGCAAACCCCTTCTCTTAGCGATAAGTGTCACTGGGTTCTTTTACGTGCATTGGATTACACAACACACGGGACCTACGGCTTTACGTCCCATCCGAAAGACGAAGCAATAATTGTTAAGTGCCTTGCTCAAGGGCACAAGTGTCCACCCATCGGGCTTGAACCCTCACCACTGTTGCCTCTGAAACACCAGAGCATGAGTCTGGTGCTCTTAACCGCTAGGCCATGACACTCCAATATGTTGGCTTCAGAATATAGTTTTTACATACAGTGTATCAAACTCTTCTTGAGGTGTGATCACATTTAATATTCGAGTTTCATTTGTTTGATAAAAAAAAATGTTTTCAAAGAATTCACTATTGCAACAGTTAAATGTGGCCATTTACACGTGTACAATGTATGTCTGATCATGGTCTGATAGTGGGTTGGGTGTATTTCTTTTGTGCGATGAAGTAGTATACCAGTAGGACAAATTGCTTTTTCCATTTTACAAGCATTTTTTTTGTTTACAATTTCATGGAACTGCTACCCATGCATCATTGTTGTGTCTTTGAAAGCTGGTGCGGAGGATAAGAATGTTAGGATGATGGATGATTGATGTGGTTCAACATTACTTTGTATTACTAGGAAAGGTCTGAATGCACAGTAAAGAATGGATACCGGGTAGTATTACTAACCAAATCATTCCAGTCCTTCCTCCATTGGCTAAATACCTTTAAAAGTATAATACAAAGAGAATGTTATCGTAATTTTGATACACGTGACAAGCATACAGCACATTTGTGATGCGATCAAGCTTAACCCTAACACCCTAAGCCTTTTTTCTAGGAACCATCCTCAATCCTCCAAAATCCTCCAAAATTTTACAACAGTGCCTAAATTCTTCAAAATTTTCAGACAGTCCTGCCTCAAAATGCATTCATCCTCAATCCTCCTCATCCAAAAATGTTGCACTTATGTTCAAATGAAGGGTACCCAGCCCCTCATCCCTTCAAAATCGTCAGACAGTCCTGCCTCAAAATACCATTATGCCTCAATCCTCCAAAATCCTTTTCTGAAAAAATACCATTCAGCCTCAATCCTCCAAAATCCTTTTCTGAAAAAAATATCATTCAGCCTCAATCCTCCAAAATCCTTATCTAAAAAAAAAATACCATTCAGCCTCAATCCTCCAAAACCACAAGGAGGAACACCAAGAGATTCGATGAAGTGATGTGATGAAGTGGCCCTATTTTGGCCTGAATCTCCAAATGAAAGTTCCCGACAAACGATTCATTTAGTCACAGACAGTCAAAAATTTCCTCCACTTCCCCTGCCATGCATTTGTATACAGGCTAGTAAAATACAGTCAAATCACATTCATGGAAACATTGTGACTAGTCAAATTCCATCAAAAGACAAAAGAGGTAACTTTTAGGTACAGCTGTCATATCAATCACCTCCAGTCAAAGCATGGCTATATCAAATTAACAAGGGGATTCTTAACAGTTAAGAGCAGTCACTTGATTAATTTTGACTGCTGTGATGGCGTAGCTGAATTTGCCAGCCAGAGAGGGAGGGTTAAAATACATGTATAAATTTGGCTCAAACTTTTCGGGGTCGCAAAAGTGAAAGTGATACCACAGAAAGTTGAGATCACAAGATTTATTGACATACAATACAATTATTCCTAATGTTTCATTTGTTTGAAATGTTTGTTTTTGAATAGCCTGTTAGTGTTACACCTACATATGTAGTTGATCTAGATACATGTATTTCACTTTCAGCAGAATGTGAACGTATGAACAAGGCACCCCTTTGGTTCTCCAGTGTTCGTGTGCACTCAACATTTTTGGAGTTTCTCTTGCCTTATTTTTGTATCTTTGGAAATACAAACTTTTACCACGGATATTTTTGCTATTCTTTTTAGCATGATGTTGTTCAAACCAAATGCCTATTTTTCAATCCGTTGATACGCCACAAATGTACGAGAATGTTTCACAAGACTCCGGGGTACTTTTGTGGTGCAAAGTTTTGTTGTCCTGTTCACCAACATTTTGTTTGTTTCGTTTTCTAAATGCAGTTGGCAGGAAACTACGTGAAAAATATACGGCACATGGAGATATGCTGCCAGGACATCAAAGTGGCCATGTGTGCTGACAAGGTGAGTTTCTAAGACTAGAGATGGAAGCAGCATGTTCTTAGGAAGTTATTTTTAAAGTGGTTTTGTTTGATGGGCATCTTTGTGGCAAATACAAAAAGGGATGCTTCGTTGCAGATTCAGATTTTATTAACACTAATTATCCCAATCCTCCAGAATCCTCTTTGCAAAATGGAGGATTTTGCAGGATTGAGGCTATATGGCAAAAGTGTGTGGCCAATTTGGGGGATGCACTGTTTCAAGGTCTTAGGCCGGACCTTGTGTTATTTATGCTCAGCCGTGCTTAAAGTTAGGCCTAGATTATACTTGAAATCCTCAGCACTGCTCCAGGATGTCACTGGCTCTGCCTCAACATATTGACAGTGATTGCCGGAGGATTTTGCAGGATTGAGGCAGTGGTCACCTTCCAAAGACCACATTCAAGAAATAACAGATAATTTTGAAAGATTGAGGCTGTATGCGGTTTTACATGGAGGTAGTTTGGAGGATTTTGAGGTTGCATCCTAGCAAAAATTCCTAGGGAGTTAGGGTAAATTAATGACTGAAGATTGACTTTGACTGATGGCTAATGATTGGACACTGACACCTGACAACTTTGGACTGATGACTGATGAGTCGTGATTCCCGATTGATCGACTATCAGTGATCAGTAACTGATTGGCCTCTCTCTGCAGGTCCTGATGGAGATGTTTCACCAAGACGATGAGGAGGTCTCCATGTCCTCCTTAGCCCTGGAGGACAGCGAGGAGTCTGACGACCGGACCGGCACGCTCAAATACGACGAGGTTGTCAAGGACATGATCCTAGAGGAGACCCAGTACATACGGGACCTGAACCTCATCATCAAGGTCTTCCGTCGCCTCTTCTCTGAGGAGTCTAATCTGTTTACTGAACAGGTGAGAAGGGGACATTTTTGGTAGAGCTTAAACCCTTGGACTATGCTTTTATCAGTCACAGGTAGTCAAAAATATCTTCCACTTTCTCTGTCAAATCCCATCAAATGACAAAAGAGGTAACTTTTAGGTACCGCTGGCATATCAATCACGTCGAGTCAAAGCATGGCTATATCAAATTAATAAGGGAATTTTTAACTGTTAAAACAGTCACTTGATTGATTTTGACTGCTGTGATGGCGTAGCTGAATTTGCCAGCCAGAGAGGGAGGAGTAAATTACTAGAGCGCTAACTCCTCATTCCTTTCATGTATAATACTTTTAAACATGTTCTGGGCGCAGACATTTTGAATGGTTATGCTTGATTGTAGAACAAATTTAACGCGAGAGTACCACAAACGTGGCTGCACTTGCACAGTTTTAAGAGTGTACTTTTTTATGTAGAGCAAAACAAAACACTATACTATTGATTGTGAGGCTTGTGAGAAGAAATTCACAAGCTTACTCGGGTGGGACTCAAACCCGTGCCCTCCTGCTTACTAGTGCAGACATCTTACCACTAGACCACCGAGCTTGCCGGCGTCGGCTGGCCGATTTGAGTCTGATGTAGCAGTAGGTACTGCAACCAAGCTGTTTATAATATGGAATTTGTGTCGGAGATATGTACATTTTTTTATTGGGTTTGCCCTTAACCAAAGTTTTTTATAAACATTGTGTACTCAGTGTTGTCTGAGAGTCGGGCAGGACTCGAACCCTTGACCTGCTTTATCCTTGTGTGGTAAGCTATTCGTTCTTAGTGGAATTTGCTCATAAATGTCATGGTACCATGATCATTGCAACCTGTGTGTTTGGACTCTTAGGATGTGGCAGACATCTTTGGCAACCTCTTAGACATCCACAGTATCTCGGTGTCCTTCCTGAGTCAGCTGGAGGATGCCATGGAGATGATGGACGACAACAGCTCCTATCCTGCCATTGGAGAGTGCTTTGAAGAAATCGCTGAGGTACAGAAACCACAATTTGATAAATCAAGTATTTGACACATTATAAAAAGTTCTATCTGCGATTTGCTTGCACCGTTACGAAACCTTTGGCATCAAGCACGAAAGTCATGCTCGGTCACAAAACTAAGAAATCATGTGATTATCGTGGAACAAGCGGAATCTTGACACAGAAAAATCGCAACCATACTTATGTCACCCACAATGTGATGACGATTCCGTGGTGTACCGTAGATGTTATTACGTGACTTGTTAAAAAATGTTGCGCATACCGGTATGTTAACCTGAGTCATGTGCAGATCCCAAAACTGAGAATTCATGTGTTAACTGTGGAGCAAGCAGCATTTGATGCAGAGTTATCGTGCTCATGTCACCCACAACGCGACAGCGATTCCGTGGTGAAGATGAGATCACGTGACTTGTGCACATGTTGACCTGAGACATGCTCTGATTACAAAACTGAGAATGTCGCGCGCATGACATTGTAACTTCAACAGGACGACCGGGATTGATTCGCTCCTTTCGGAAGCACGTTCCATCGTGGTGCACAAGTTTTTCTGAGTTTTCGTGATTTCATGTCATTTTAAGAATCCCTTTTGAAATCTGGAATCTCTGAGGTTTTTCCGTAAAGGTGTTATTATGAAAGTTTTTATACAGGGTGTGTAAAAAAAAAACGAAACCCAAATGTCGGGACCATTGTTTTAGTGAAGCTCTGCATGTAGCACTTTTAAAATCTAGGATATGAAAGCCCAATTCATGAGCTTTCTCTTAGTACAAGAATCATTCAAATCACTCATGTACTTTTCAAGTTACGGAGTTTTAAACACAACCACTGTTTTAAAGTTCTGTCCACAGATCACAAAAAAGGTGTGTGTTCTTTCAGCAAAACAAAAACAATTCACACACATCACACACATGGGATTTGTTTTTGTTTTGCTGAAAGAACACTGAACTTTTTTGTGATCTGTGGACAGAATCTTAAAACGGCGGTTGGATTTTTCATTCGCCCCCGGTCTCACTCCTGCGCCAAACGATTTTGACAGTTTTTGTTCATCTCTCTGTGGCCTTTCCATGATCTTTTCCAGGGTGAAGAGTTTGAGCCATACATCCCCTATGCTAACCAGATCCTGAGCAGAAAGTGCCGAGATACTCTCGACAGATTGCTGACGCGGCCGGAGGTGGTCCGCTATTTTCAGGTATTTTTTGTTGTTCGTCAAAGTTGTTCCCAGTTTAAAATCTGGCAAAGCATTTACTTTAAAAAAACCAATCAGGTGATTTCTTATGACATGGAATTTCATATGGAATTTCATGTCGGGGAGATTTTTGCCATATTTTTAATTTTGGATTCAGAATGATTATTTTTTGGTGTGTGTGCAATATTTTGTTTTGCAATAAAGAAGCTTAGGTCCTTTTACCCTATGGCTTTGATGCAGAAAGTACCCCCTACTTCAGTTACAAAGACAGAGTTAGAAGGGACTTGAACATATTGTCATCATACACTCATGTAAAGATTTGATGGATTTGTGCACACTCACAATGAAATTAATAATTATCCCTCCTATTGTTCGATCAGTCAAAGACAGTCAGTTTTTTTTATACTTTCCCTGCTATGCCAGTGGCGGACCCTGGGGGTGCGGAGGAGGCACCCACCTCCAAGGCAATGCCCAAAATTTTCTCAAATAAGGCCATTGTTTACCTGAGAGAGCCCTTATTCCCAAGGCGTGTTTGCTAGAATTGAAACCTCAATCCTCCAACTGCCTCCATGTCAAAATTGCATACAGCCTCCATATTCCAAAATCATCCGTTCTTTCTTGAATGTGGTCCTTGGAGGGGTGACCACCGCCTCAATCCTGCAAAATCCTCCAGCAATCACTGTCAATATGTTGAGGCAGAGCCAGTGACATCCTGGAGCAGTGCGGAGGATTTCAAGTGTAATCAAGGCCTAAATTAATGCATGGCTGAGCATAAACAACACACGGTGCGGCGCAAGACCTAGACACAGCGCATCCTCCAAAATCAGCCACACATGTTTGCCACAAAGCCTCAATTCTGCAAAATCCTCCATTATGCAAAAATGATTTTGGAGGATTTGGGAAGGTTAGGGTTAATTAGATATCATGGTTAAGTGGTTCTGTCATGGACATTACAGTTCCTTTCATTATGCTGGAATTATCCAAAGATGTATAAAGCCCTTGTGTAAGTAATGCAACGTGTCGTTTTTTGTTACCACTCCAGCTCCAGGATAACTTCAGGGATGCAGTCGTTTACGTACTACCCAAGCTCCTTCTGGAACCCATCTACCACTGCATACACTACTTTGATGTACTTAAGGTAAGCAGATTAACAGGGTAGCAATATAGACTCCTTGCACCAGTGCCCCCTCAACGGTTATACAAAGAGAGGGTTGAGGGGGACCGGTGGGAGGGACATTAGTTTGTATGCCTCATGCTCATGACACGACAGGTTTATGTGCTCACAGATTGAAATTAGACGGGTGTACTTTGCGCAGTGCTCACGTGAACCAGTATGCGCATGCGGCATGTCCCTTCCACTGGTAGTGGTCACAAAGGGCCAACTTCTGTTTGTGCATGCAGATGCTGGCTGCTGTGATGTAGTCCATGGCGTTTTATAGTACACCACGGCAAAACAATGTTGCGTTTGCTAGTACGAGGGGTGATTGATAAGTTCGTGGCCTGAAGTAGAAGGAGTTGAGCTATACAGTTTTTATTAATATTGTGTGCAGTTCAACTTGTTGAATGATAAGACAGAAAGTTTGAAGTTATTATCTGGCTTGTTTTTCTGTTACAGGTAAGCAAATCTTGACATTCACTGGTTCCTGAGAATGAAACCGTGAAAATGAACAAATATGGAAAAAAAATCAGTTATGGGACAATGTTGCCATTTTCGAGAAGTCGTTTGTTAAATTTTTTTGTTCGATGGAAGTTTTCATTGTTTTTTTTTTCATTTTCAAGGTTTAAATCTCAGGAACCGGTGACTGTCAAGGTTTCATTATCTGTAACAGAAAAACAGGAAAAGATAATCAATTTGTCTGTATAATCGTTCAACAAGTTGAACCGCACACAATATCAGGCAGAACTATATAGCTCATCTCCTTGTGCCTTAGGCCACAAGCTTATCAGTCACCCCGTAGTAGCAGTAGTCCCATATGGCATACAGACCCATTGACCACATCACAATAGACATTTGTTTTGTAACACTGCATTGTTTATTTTATTAAATGTTTTGAATCTGTGGACTGTGTCCACTTGTTTGCATAATGCGTGGCTTGATCATGTGATTCCAACTTTCACTGAGAAAAAAAACATCTATTGTTTATCATGTGAAGTATTGATGGGCTTTAAAAACTTGATAAAACTAACGTGGGAAAAAAAGAGAAAACAATTGGGTGACTGTTGCCTGTTGGCAATGACAGATACAAGAACGTAGGTGAGAGTGGGAGAAGCATAGAGCTATATTAAATTACTAGAGCGCTAACTTGCTGTACAAAGTGATGTCTGCTGGGCGCATCCATGTTTGTGCAGAAACCTATGGAAAACTCAAAATTGAGTACGGCTTTAGAACGGCTATTTGCATATATCTGCATTTGTATTCTATACCGATGTGATACACCCAAAACCAAAACGCACAATCAGCAAATAAGCGTTTCTTTCCTTTGTGCAAATGACGCAAACGTGTGCGTTATACTTGTGTGCTGCATTTAGAGTACAATATTCAAACTTCATTCCATCTAATTTCATTATGTTCTACAAACACGCACATGAATTCAAAATGTCTGCACACAGGACAGCTTCAAAGCGTCTCCGCGCGCTAGAATGAGGAGTTAGCACTCTGGTAATTTAATGTAGCTCTACGGGGATAAGTTATTTGGACCATGAAAGCGGTTTTCTACATTTTAACACCCCTGCCTGTTTCAATTCACAAGTTACTTTGTTGTGTTACAGCTCCTACTGAAAACGTCTCCCAATGAAGACGACAGGGAAAGCTTAAGACAGGTAAACCAAACATTTTCTGATAAACGCAATGTTATAAAACTAAATGCTATATTTAAATTTTATGCCTTCTAATCTCAGCCATGTAACTATTCCTCGGATCAGCTGATTTTCTCGTTTTTCACTTCAGGGCAATCCCAGCGTTATGTAATGTCCGTTACAGCTTTTAAGAGCTCAGTGAATAAACCTGAAAATATATTTTCCAAATCTTATACATCCAACATCTTGAAACTGACATTTGCTTGTCCTTCCCTCATTAGGGTTGGTTACCATGAGTCATAATTAAACCCTGTTTTAGAAGAACTGTTATTTCTATCCACATGAATTAATGAAACAAGTCAATGCCAAATGAATTACAGAAACAATTCAATGCAAAAGATGTACTCTTTGTTTCAGTCTACTTCATATAAACAGTTGTCATTTATTCTAACATGTCTTACAGTCAGTCCTCCACAGTTTGTAAGTTGTATAAACTTTGTGCATCGTTGGAACAGTACCAATCTGTTACATATTATTGGAACAGCTAGTTTAGTTTCGGGCTACCAAAATGGATCAGATCATATTTATTTTGGTCTTAATGTTTGTCATGTACATAAATACATGTGACAATTTTTGGTCCCTGGGGCTTTTCATTATGTCATACATCTTAGTTTTAATTTCTTAATTTCCAGTGTACGTGTATTGGTATTGTAGTGTATCAACTCTTACTCATTTAATGGCCGTGAGGACAGAGTATCTTTAATCACACACAAGGTTCATGTATAAGCCAAATCGGTGTTCCAACTCAACATGTGCATCAAGATTTGACAGGTTTTCATTTCGAGATGAACAATCCTATGTTCCTGCTGATGCATACATATGGACTTTTGGTTCAAAATCTCAAAACTTGTGAATGCACCATTTTTATCTTTTTTTATTGCATGAAAAGTTGACTGCAACTTTTTTCCGATATTTAATGAGGAGACCGGGTTCAAGAATGTAAATCAAGGCCTGAAATATGGTTAGCATTGCCCCTATCCGCTCCGTTCACAAGTACCCCCTCACCGGCAAAGGAAGAACAGTTGGGGGTGACCGACCGACGCCATCTTGCCTGACTGCAATTCATTTGCTGCGAAGCGTGGCCACTGCGTGTACATATACAAATCCCCTGGTGTACGTGCGTCACACACAAGGAACGGTGCGCGTCAACCAGCGAAATGTCCCGCCCATGGGACGTCGTTGCTAGGTAAAAGGGCGCCCTCTTTGGTCGGCGCACGGAGCCCATGGACTTGTTTGAAGTTATGAATAGTACTGTTTTTATTTTCGACTGAACATTTCTGTATCTGAACAGCCAATTCTGAAACAATGAGAGCTAGTCCCTCTGAACAATGCCACAGTTGTATCCTGCTGCAGTTGGTGACCACAGACTCTGTGGCAGTTTGTCTTTGAGATTTGTGACTTAATGGATCTTGCTACACTGAGCAGGCTTGTCATTTTGACAAGTGTTGCATGTTGCTGCGTTCAGCATGGTTTCTAGCCAAAATATCGGGGGGGGGGGGGGGGGGTAGGGGTAATGTGTTCTTGGTTGAGCTGGAATACCAACTAAGGCCAAAAAAAAAAGTCTCCGGTTTCTGGTATGCGCGCGCGTCGCCGTATTTGTGCGCGTCGGCAAAATGAAAAAGTTTTTTTTTTCAATGAAAGATGATGTCTCAAAACCGCCCAACTCACTGGTTTGACTGGAATCCTGCTGCTGCACAATTTTGACGTGTTTTTAGATGGGGTTATGATCGAGAATAAGCTTTATGTGGCCTCTCTGGTCTCCCATAATATTTGCACTAAGTTTAGTCGGGCACCATTTGCAGTCATCAGCTGACATTTGAAGCAAAAAAAACAGGTAAAAAAGAAAAAAAGCCGCGTCGCCGCACCACTTTTTGGGCAAGCTCCATACCAGAAACCGGAGACTTTTTTTTTTTTTTTTTGCCTAAGGGCTTCTATCGGTGAATTTAGTGGTACATGTATCGGTAGTCCCATCCATTACATGTACATTGCTATGGAAGGGAAGAGGTGAAGGGAAAAAGCAATATGCTCCCATACCATTTACAATACCATTTACAATTTACCATTTACAATTTACAGAACAAGAACATATTTTGTATCGTATTTTAATATGGACTCCATGCAAAAGTACAGACCGGTGACAAAAACGCATGATATTACTGTTACTGACTAACACTTACATGTAAGTCAAAATCGACTGTGACCTTTCCTTATGCTCCTCATATGTTCAGGTACTTCAGGTTTGTTCACATTCATTGGAAAATTGGTTTCACACAAACCACTTTTTGCACATGTAAACCAGTCTGTGCATGCGATGGGCCTATCCTTGGCTCTGTTCAGATCTCAGCATCTCAGTAAGCTGCTTTTGACAAGTTTTCATTTCATAAACTTGGAAACTTGAACCATATTTCAACCCAATAGCATGGTATGTTTTTAAGAAGTATGGACAATATGCAGGAACAGTACAGGGTGAGTCAAAAAAAGCGGAACCCAAACCCCATAAAATATATTTCATATTTAAAAAAATATGTAGCACCAAAAATAATAATGAGTGGTAAGCCAATTTCATAAGCTACTTTTTAGATGAAAAAATTACTGAAATTGCTCAATCCGTTCAAAGAATATCACCATTTAAACACAATGACCCTAAAACCTGTCTCGTCCAAAAAAAGCAATTCATTGTGTGTTTTGACTGTTTTGGAACAACAAAGAAAATGATACCGAATACTTGTTTCAACAACTGTCACCAACAGTAGTACACAATATATTTATTAACAACCCTGGTCAAGCAAACAATATGATTGATAAAATCTACCTTTTTTTAAAGGACAGGCCTTCAAAGGGATTCTGTTGAATATTTTTAACGTTTAAACTGAGATTTTATCACTGGTGATGTTTGAAGACAATTGCGACGACGATTCTTGAAATCACATTTTTTGGAAGAGACAGTTTTTAGGGTCATTGTGTTTAAACGGTGGTATTTTCTGAACGGATTGATCAATTTCAGTCATTTTTTTCATATGAAAGTACCACATGAAATTGGCTTTCCAGTCATTATTTTTGATGCTACATATTTTTTAAATATGAAATATAATTTTGGGGTTTGGGTTCCGCTTTTTTTGACTCGCCCTCTAGTTAGCATCCTGTGAGCATTCTGAAAAACAAAACTCCAGTGTGTGCAACATACCTTTTTATGTGCATGCAATGATGTGCATTATAATACCAAGTTACATATGATATATTTTCCTTTGAATGTGCACAAATCTGTCACGTCTTTACATGGATGCTGAGCGCACACTGGCAATGACATTCAATTGTCAGTAACATCTCTCTTCGTCACCGCGGAGGGCATACTTGTGCACGGAGACCATACCTCTGTGGTTTCGCTGCTAGGCTGTCTGTTGGACCCATTGAATCAACTCATAATGCACTTCTCTGTAATTGAATAATAGGCGTCTGGAGCCCTGAAGACACTACAGACAGACCTGGAAAGAATTTGCACAGCGAAGAACCTACCGAAACGAAAAGCAGGGTATGTTTACACTTGGTGTATTGAAGATGGCTTTAGTTACTAACTCTAACTCCCTAGGCATTTTTGCTGGGATTTAACCTCAATCCTGCAAAATCCTCTAACTGCCTCCATGTAAAAATAGCATATAACCTCAATCCTGCAAAACCATCCGTTATTTCTTGAATGTGGTCCTTGGAGGGTGACCACTGCCTCAATCCTGCAAAATCCTCCAGCAATCACTGTCAACATGTTGAGGCAGAGCCAGTGACATCCTGGAGCAGTGCGGAGGATTTCAAGTAAAATCTAGGCCTAAATTTGTGCACGGCTGAGCATAAACAACACAAGGTCCAGCCTAAGACCTTGAAAGAGTGCATCCTCTGAAATCAGCAACACACTTTTGCCATGTACGGAATCCTAAATTCTGCAAAATCCTCCATTTTGCAAAGAGGATTTTGGAGGATTTGGGAAGGTTAGGGTTAATGGGAAAGAATAGCATCTGAAAGTATCATTGGTGCGTGCACATATTGATTTATAATTGCAGTAATGTGGTTTTCAAGTTAACCTTAAAACTACTTTCATGATTGTAAAACATGAAAGGCATGAAAATTATGAATTAAAATCCACCTGTAGGCTCTAGCTTTAAATTTAACAAAAGCAGAACACGCCTCCTTTGGGTCAAACATAAACATGGGAGGATTTTCAGAAAGGATCTGAACACTATTGATTTTGGAATTAATTGCCCTAACATTGCCTAATGAGACAGAATTAAACCGTCTGAAATTAACTCTGGGTAATTTTGAGCAGTTGATGTTGGTAAATGTAAGCCTAAATTACCCCATACACTAAATATGAACCACTTTGAAGGGGATGGGGTATAAACTTTGAATGATTTTGGGTGATTTGACACGGAATGACCCAGCAGCTTGTATAAGAGAAGTGATGTGCATTGTTGAAACAACCCATGCTGATCCATGTTGTTACTCTGAAATGTTGAAATACAGTGAGACGCTGCGGTTCCACAGACGGGTTGCCTCGAGGCAGCTCAGCATCCAGAAGATGAACGAGATTCAGAAGAACATTGAGGGCTGGGAAGGCAAAGACATCAACCAGCTGTGTAATGAGTTCATCATAGAAGGAAACCTGGGCAAAGTCCATGCTGGCAAAAACAAAAAGGTAGGTTGGGCTGGTTTATTAACCCCCCACCTATTTAAGCAGTCACAGACAGTCAAAATTCATTTCCACTTCCCCTGCTGTACTTTTAACAAAGACTAGTCACCAGCAGTCAGATCATGTGTCAAGCAAGCGCTGTGACTAGTCAAACTGGGTCAACAGACAAAGCAGGCAAGCTGTGGTCACAGCTGGTTTATCACTCGCCCGGAGTCAAAGCATAGCTGTATCAAGTTACTTAAGCAGTCCAAGGCAGTCAATCCTGCTTTATGGCCGGAGCTGAAGGCAAGGGACATTATCGGTGAACATGCCCTAACAGGTATAAACCAGCTGGTTCACACTGCTCCATCATCTTATTACTCCCATTCATAAAATACCTTTTTTGGTCAAGAACTGCGAAATAAGTCAAAAAGTCGACAAAAATCTGACGATGTTTCTGACTTTTTAATCTCAGACGGAACAATTGTTCCTCTATTTAAAAGACAAGTTTAAGTATAAACAATGTAAAAGTAATTGCTTTATTATTTAATAACTATTTTTTTCTGAACTTTAAAACCTACAAACTTTGAAGACTTAATGTTCTCTAAAATACAATATACAAGAGCAGAATTTTTTTAGTCCTGATTCAGGTGCTGGTTTTAAATACTTCTCAACGGTGTTTAAACAGCAGCTTAAGACCACCTACTTGACAGGCTCTCCACCAGTAGGAATAGGTTAACTGTCTTTAAGTATTTATGAATGTTTTTCTGCCTTTTTACAGGCAAACACGGAGAGACACATCTTCTTGTTTGACCTGATGATAGTCTGCTGCAAGCAGAATGCACGGAAGTCGGTTACCAGCAGCTCGCCAGAGTACCGGTATAAGGAACGCTATACACTCAGGAAGATCAGTCTACTTGACAGGGAAAATTCAGACGGTAAGGCGAATACAGCTTCAAAATGTTGACGATATTTTTTATCTTGATATGTTTTGTAATTCTTCAGTGTTACATCAATGTTGTCTAATACAGGGTGTTTCAATAAAAAGGAAACCCAACTTTGAAGAACCAGTATGGACCGACTAAATGTTTACTGGCTATAAAACTGGTATCGTCTGAAAGCGTAATCTCTATACTTTTCAATGATACCTTGTTTACATTTCCAGGGTCATGCATCACTGAGCGCCACTGTCATGAGATTTTGATGCAAAATTGCAGTTGGTTCACTTTCATGTCAAACACAATAGGCATGGTGGGCATGAGAATAAGTATTCAAGAAGAAGACACGAGTGCATAAAAAGACCCCCCCCCAAAAAAAAAACCCCAAACAAGTCGGGTTGGTTTCAAAACTGGATTTTATTGTTCGTCATGACTTTCTTGATTTGAACCATGCCACGTTCAAAAAAATGTGCCATTTTCCCGAGGATTAACATTCAAGCCATTTCACAGACATTTCCGTAACAATACGCACAAGACAGTGAACCAACTGCATTTTTGCATCCAGTTTTCAAGACAATGATGATCACTGATGCATGATGTTATTTCTGATTTGATCTAATTTTTATATTGCGCCATGTGTGTCATTTATGGCGGATACCGGCGCGTTATAAATTGCCGTTATTATTATTATACTTCTCATTATTATGTTCAGTAAGATGTTGGTCCTTTTCCTGTTGCTACTGTGATGAGGATTACATGTATGATGATGATGCTGTTGCCTTTGCTTGTGATTGCTGCTGACGTGATGTGTGAATAAATATGTTTCTTGTGTTTTTTCCTGTCTTGTTTAGATTTAAAGTATGGATTTGAGATCAAGCTTAAGGAGCAACATCCCCCGATCATCTTTTTTGCCAAGAATCAGGAGGAGAAGACGAGTTGGATGGAGGCGCTCACAACGTTATGTTTAAGAAGGTAAGGAGCAACTTGAGCCATAAACTCCCACACATTTTGGGGCTCATTTCATGAAAGTTTGAACTGAAACTCGGTAAGCATAACCATTATTTGCTGAGCAAAAAATGGTTACCAGCCAAAGTGTCATTCAGTGTTTTTGTGACTGGTACTTGGCTGATTCATGCTTAGCGCAGAAACTTGCTAAACAAACTTATTTGCTAAGCTGATCCCTGAAATTGGGCCCTGGTTTGTTTTCGATTTTAAAGGGCCCATGCAATTTATTTTCTTTTATGCAATCCCTGGAAATGAACCTTTGTGTCCCATTTAACATTAATTAACCTTATTTTCAATAATAGTTTTGCCATTTTCAAGGGCGTCTTGGTGACTTTTTTGTTTTATGCTAATGCAAATTTCCATATTCATGAGCAAAACGGTGATGTTATTCCGGGCAGACACCTAAATGTTATGACTATTGCAGCACAAAAAGTTGCTAATTTTTTTGATATTTTGCCGTGGTAAATTTTCTTTTCTTTGGTGATTCATTGTTGTGTCAGTACATGGCAGGTTTTGTAAATAAAAATAAAGATATTTTGCCGTGGTAAATTTTCTTTTCTTTGGTGATTCATTGTTGTGTCAGTACATGGCAGGTTTTGTAAATAAAAAGGGTTTGAAAACATCGTTAATTATTCGTGCAATTTTGGTTTAACTTAAAGGAAGACTGTGTGAACGGTAAACGTTGAACGTAGGTTCCTTTTGTATAATTCGGGTTTCGTTTAAACATTTAAACATGTAAACATCACATAAACGTCACATCCTTCGCACAAAGTTTATAGTACATACGTGCATGTATAACTGCAGTGCAGTCCAGATTTCGGACACAGATTTTTGTTCGGAGCCGCTACAGCCTACCTGTATATTCCAATTTTTTCCCCATAGGCCAGTTATATTCCTAGGTTTGTTTCCTATTCCCAGTACTTCTCACAATTGTACCACATCTATCTCTTTCCATTCAGTACTATTGAGAGAATGTTAGATACGATATTGGCAGAGGAAGAGGCACAGCAGCCACTACGACTGCCTACAACAGAAGAATACAAGTAAGTCTCTAAAACTTACAAAGTTTCATTTTAGATTTTTTGAGGATTCATTGATTTTTAAAGTAAACAATATCTGAATGAAACAATATCTGAAAAAAAGTTTACACTTTTTACAGAGGCAGATTTCTTATAATTGAAGAGACATGTTGAAATTGTTTTAAGATATTCCTAAACTACAAGATCTTGGTCGTATATTGTGAAAACGGCGTTGAAAATAAAGCTCCAGTTAAGAAATAGCGGCCATTTACAGAAGAATGGTCAAAAACTAGTTTGTCCACATCTTTGCCAGTCATGTAGACCTAGTTACAATTATTGCAGTTCTTTGCGCATGCAGTGCTATTGTGTTGACCATATCTCATAGACTTGCGTGTGGACAAACTGGTTTATGACAATCTTTATTTAAACCATCACCATTTCTTAATGTTGGCCTTATTTTCAGCGCCATTTTCACCATATACCACAAAGATGCTGTAGTTTAAAAATATCTTGAAATAATTCAACATGTCTCCCAAATTCCAAGAAATTTACATCTGAAAAAAAGTGTATTTTTTTTTTTGGACCACCCTGTAATCTGCACCTGACATAAATAAACCACCATGAGAACTCTGCTGGTTCATATTTTTTCAAACTTTGAAGCCACTTGCAATAAAAGAATAAGGGATGTTATAGCTGCTATGTTTTTTCCCCCAGAACATTCCAAGTCCACCTCTGGTTAAGTCTCCTATGTTGTTTGTGTGTACATTGTACTCCAGTTGGAATACTGTTCAGTTTATACATTTCCCAGTAATGACTTCCATAAATTTCCAATTTTCTACCAAATGCAGATATGCAGAGGAGGACTCCCCAAATAATATTGTCTTTGAGGAAGGCCAGAAGTCCCGAGCTGGGGTACCGCTGATCAAGGGCGGTACCCTGCTCAAGCTGATAGAGAGGCTGACCTATCACAAGTACGCCGACCCCTCGTTTGTCCGGACCTTCCTGACCACCTACCGGTCGTTCTGTAAACCGCAAGAACTGCTGTCACTACTCATTGAGAGATATCCTTTGAACTGTCTCCAGAAAATTGGGACTTGAACGGAACAAGTTTTTGTCACGTTATCACAGGTCATCTAGTCTCCAGCCAGGTCACAAGCTATTCAAATGCACTGTGGTTGTTTATCTCCATGATATTTGTGACTTTACTGGTGCTTGACTCTGTGATTTAACTTGAGATGGACTTGTGATTTGACTTTTGATGGACTTGTGATTTGACTTGTGATTGATTTCACTGCATTTTTTTGTACATGTATATATCCAAATCAAATTACATGTACCAGTACCCTTAAGGGCATATAGGATTATTCGTGTTTCATGCATTTTGTTCATTTTCCACTCATAACAGCACTCAGAATCCAAAGAAGAATCTTCAGAATCTAACCTGGTGAAGTTTCAGCTTTCATGCAAATGATCCTATATGCCTTTAAGCTTGAACCTAGAGCCTCAACTAGGGACCCTTGCTGTCAGAATCCACCACTGCAGTGACCCCATACCAGCATCTTATTTCCTGCTCAATTTTAAAAGGAGGAGGTGCTTTTTCCCCCAAAATGTCCACTAGGTACATTTTCTAAGTTGGCCAAACACCCTTTCTTTTAAAGACTACCCCAAAATGCCGGTCAGATTCTCTAGCCTAGTGTCCTCCTTTTTACCAGAAACGAAGACCCCCCCCCCCCCGAAAAAATTGCTTACTGTATTATTGGACTTATAACATCCCAAAAGATGCATATCTTTTGGACTGAGTTTCATGACTGCTAATCACAATTCCACACTTACAAATCACCATTCTGTTCAAATAGTGCTAGCAAAAAAATCTATGCCTTCCCTGTAAGCACAGAATCTTTGTGATGGGATGCACGCATCCAAAATTCTTTGCTAACTCAATTATCAGTTGCTAATCTTAACTAAGCATGCAATTGGGTCATTCTATAAATTTGGGGCCCAAAGTGTAACATTTTTCCCGTCCCTGTTACCTTGGTACTTTGTAATTTGCCATTCAAGCATCATTAAAAGTGACTTCAAATGATTGTTTATTTGTTGGGTAGGTAGTTTGCTATTCATAATCACTTCTGGAGGATGACTGCATTAAGGAGTGCATCAGAATTAAACAATCATAGATGTCAGATGTAACAGGGACGGGTAAAAAAGTGGACCCCAAATTTATAGAATGACCCAATTTTCAGCTACAATTAGTGGATTTGTCGCTAGTGGTAAGCAGAACTATGAAATTGGGCCCGGTTACTCCTGGAAAATGGTTACTCCTTGAAAAGGGCGGTGGAGTGGGGTTTGGACATGACCTTTGACTTTGGTTTGCCTTGACTCTCGGGCTGTTACGTTTGAGATTCAAGATCCAGAACCGACCGAAGAGGACCGCCTCGCATTGGACAGAGGGGCCACCGTGGTCCGGGAAGACTTGAAGAGATTTCGCAAGGAATACGCACAACCTATACAGCTAAGGTAATAGTCTCACACTTTCAGTAGTCACTCTTCCCAAAATGCTTGGGCCATGAAAAGAACTTCTTGAATTTTGGGACAGCTGTGCAATGTACTTGGAATGAATTTTTATGTCTTGAATTCAATAATCGTATCGTGCTCTTTGAATGTTACATATTTAAATATTCATTTTGCAGATATTTATAAACGTGGTTATCAATACCATGAAATTCTGTGATGATGTTGAGTGAGAGACATTTGCACTTTTACCCTTACTCCCTAGGCATTTTTGCTAGGAAGTAACCTCAATCGTGCAAAATCCTCCAACTGCCTCCATGTAAAAATAGCATACAGCCTCAATCCTGCAAAATCCTCCGTTATTTCTTGAATGTGGTACTTGGAGGGGTGACCACTGACTTAATTCTGCAAAATCCCGACAATCACTGTCAATAACTTGAGGCAGAGCCTGTGACATCCTGGAGCAGTGCGGAGGATTTCAAGTAGAATCTAGGCCTAGATTTATACACGGCTGAGTATAAACAACACAAGGTCCGGCGCAAGACCTTGACACAGTGCATCCTCCAAAATCAGCCACACACTTTTGCCTTGTAACCTCAATCCTGCAAAATCCTCCATTTTGCAAAGAGCATTTGGGAGGATTTGGGAGGGTTAGGGTTAATGCTAATGACCAGGCAGAATGTCACAAATCAACAAGTAGTCAGAAAATGCTCTTATCAAATTTGCATTTGAATTATGTCTCGCGTTTGATCATCAGAGTCCTGAATGTGTTAAGACACTGGGTGGACCGTCACTTCTACGACTTTGAGCGCAACCCAGACCTACCCAAGAGACTTATGGAGTTCATCGACCAGGTCAAGGGCAAGGCCATGAGGAAGTGGGCGGAGTCAATCAAGAAGATTGTACAGAGGAGGGTAGGTCGTGAACCTAAACCAGTGTCAATCATAATCAAGCCAGAACATTTAAGACTAAGGTCGGGGAGCTGGTACTATCCAGTTGCTCCCAAGTGATGGTTGATCCCTTGCTCCTGATCGGGGAGGTTGGAGGTCGGCACTACGACACCTCTGATGGTCTGATGCAGCAGTAGTAGTTGTGCAGCAGTGGTGGTCATCTGTTATAAGTCTAATGTGGATGAGTTCTTCTGCACAACCATAACAGATTGGGGTTTAGATTTTCGTCGGGGTTTAGTGGGTGCCAATATATTAATTAAATAATATTTGAATAGCTTCTGTGTCTAACTTTGCCGAAAAGATAAGGTGTCTGTGACTAACTTTGCCAAAAAGGAAATACAAATTGACAAGCTTTTGTCTAGAAATAATAATATAATTTGGGCAGCTTTTTTGCCAGCAAAATATAAAGAAGGATTGTATTTATTTACAAGGAACAAAGAATAGATAAAAGGAACCACCTGGATTATCGACAAATATAAAAGTGGTAATGAAATGCGACATCACCATAGCTCACCTATTAGCTGTATACTACTGCCGAACCTGGTTCACTATGGCGACGAACTCACGGAACTAATTATTAAGGAAAATAAGAAGACTGGAATCACGAAGTATATGGATGTAAAGCCTATCTTGCTACCAGTGAAGCTAACACAGAACTGAGGGCCTGGTGTATGGAACCAATGGTCTTTATAAAGACAGGACGCGCTTGGCTACAACCGTTGCGTGTAAGTGCAGCTGCCTATATATAACAAAAGGAATTCCAGGGTACTACCAGGGCATGGCAGTAATGTTTCCTCCTTTGACCTGCTAACCAACTCTGTCATATCTCACTTGTCTACTTCTTTTCTTTTCTTTTCTTGATCTGTTACAGCAAGAGGCTGACCAGTGCATCCGTGAGATCACATTTGAGAAGGACCCACCCTTATTGGAATGGCACATCACAAAAATACCTCCTGAATTCGACCTCATGACGGTATTTTGCTTTCTATCTTTTTTGTAGATCAAAGCTGATACTAAGTTTTAAATCAGATTCTTGACTCTGCTGTACTCGGGAATCGACTCACTGTAGTGGCTGATTGTATTTTACTGACGGTCAATTCCAGGCATCCGCTTTGTCTTAAGATTGGCTGCACCAACATGAATTCAAAGATTAAGAAAATCTGGGAAAAACAAATGCTTAAAGGGAATGTACATCATTGGCTTTAGCTGTAATTTTCAGAAATGAACTATATGAGGGGTTAGTATAATAGATCAAATATTGTTACACTGACATGTTTGAGTTTGGTGTTTGAAAAGGTTGGGAAAAACCAAGACAAAAAAAAAATGTTCAAGTAGTCTGGTTCCCTGACTCCACAAAAGATAAAATGGATCAATTTATAGATGATGGAAAATTGTAAGGCAAGGGAACCAGTCTAGCTGGCCTGCACCCGTTCATGAACATGTAACCAATAGCAAACAAAATTTGGACTGAAAAAATGGTAAAATTTGGAGCAGTAGTTGAAAAATAGTTAAGTTTTTCCAACGCTGGTCGGCCGACCACTGTTGGAAATGTATACAAAAATACCATTTTCTTGAAAATGACTTCACACCAGGTGCCATAATTTTACAAGATGCTTGAGACTGTCATTTACCAACATCCTAGTAAGGTATTTCGTAAAAACTTGGTAGTTTTATTTTTCGATGTTTGCAAAATGTTGTATATTCCCTTTAATAGAGAGCTTTAAGAAAGCTTGCAGCCATTAAAAGAGCAAGCTGTATTGTGTTGTCCTTAAAAACATTGATTTGGGAACAAACTTTAGGTTGTAAAGAAGCATGTTCAAAGGAGTGATTGCACTTCTTAACGAGTTGGCAAGTGTATACATGCAAAAGTTTTGTGGTATTCTGGATGGATGACAGATAAACATGCAATGAGCGAAAAATATCTGTCTACGACCCGCTCGCAGCGAGCGAGGCCGTGAATATGAGGGTGATGGCTTCAACCCGCCTGGCATGAGGTCGAGTGAAAGTAACATGCCTCGTTCCAGTCTTGTCAAAATAATCCCTGCGTGAACTGGTAAATAAACTACAACGGTTCATCAGTTGATATTACTGAGGTTTTCCTGAATGTAATTTTTATTTAAACTTTGCCAAAGAAATTGTGAGTCGACTGAACGTAATTGTTTTGTGGTGTCGGAGGGAGTTGTGGAAATAAAATTTAAATTTTGTTGTTTTGTTTCCATTGGCGTCCGTAGTTACATCCCATTGAGATTGCTAGGCAGTTGACGATACTGGAGGCTGATTTGTTCCGGGCTGTCCAACCCTCTGAGCTGGTCGGTACCGTCTGGACAAAGAAGGATAAAAACACCACCTCACCTAACCTACTCAAGATGATCCACCACTCCAACATGGTAACAGCCCTCGTTATTCATCATCACATCAGACAGGGGCGTTGGCACAATCATCATTCAAGCCGAAACACCGACTCTTAAGTCCCACCTTGTGGTTTTATAACGTAGCGCTCAAACTACTATCCTGAAACCTCAGTATTATATTCACATCTATCCATAGCCAAACAACATAAAAATGCATCCGGTATTTTCTGTTTATTTTGTAGGATCCATTTATTTTGTTTTTACACATGTGTTTGTTTTTTCTTTTCCTCCAAAAGCTTATTCTGTGGTTGGAGAAGTGCATCGTAGAGGCTGACAATTTTGAGGAGCGTATTGCTGTCTTGTCCAGAATAATAGAAATAATGATGGTGAGTAGCAAGAAGCCAGTTTAGTATTTCAACTGCTCATGCGCACAATGAAACCCACTAGGCCCTTTTGGCTAGGAACCATCCTCAATCCTGCTAAATCCTCCAATTGCCACCATGTAAACATTGGATTCAGCCTTCATTCTCCAAAATCATCCGTTATTTCTTAATTTTGTTCAGTGGAGGGGTGACCATTGCCGCATTCCTCCAAAATCATCCTCCATTAACTGCTATGGGTGGAGTCAGTACCAATGCCATTTAGAAGCAGTGCGGATGATATCGAGCATATTGCAGGGTTCCATTATGCATGGCTGAGCATAAGGAATGCTGGGTACAGCAGGAACTCGACCCATTGCCTCCTCCAAAATCAACTGACACATTTTGCCATTCATCCTCAATCCTCAAAAATCCTCCAAAACTGCAATGAGGATTTTGGAGGATTGAGGTGGGTCAGGGTTAGGGGTCATTCGGGATAATAGAATGATCGAAGGCACATGAACGCGCATGAACGCTTGGGAGTTTTTATACAGGCATGCAACTTTTCCTCGGATCAGCTGATTTCCTCTTTTTTCACTTCCAATGTGTGCCATTGAAAATAGAAAAACACTGTACAAAGTCTGGGAAACATTTGAATTTCCTCTTTTTTTTGTGATTTCCCAGTTGCATGCCTGTTTATATTTCAATAGAAACAAAGCGTGCACAAAGTACACACTAAATACCTGCAGTGTCTTTGTGTGTGCGCGTCAACTGCAAGGCAGCAGTGATGTTGAAGTGTCCGCCGTATCTCTCTCTTTGTGCCCATTACGGCATTGATGTGCTCGCCCTCATGTGATAGAGTTACATTAGGTAAACAGTCCCCTTTGTTTCTAATTTATGCGCAAACAATATGGCGTGCACAGTGTAAAATATCAACTAACATGTTCCAAACTGCTTATAACTGAGAAATGAAGTTGCCGTTAAAAAGTTAAGACGAGATTGCACATTACAGGATTTGGCCCACGGCCTACATGTTCTCATATTTACTTTGTTAAGAGAGACATGACTTTGTGATTGAAAGCTCACTTTTGATTCCATAATTTGCAGGTGTTTCAAGAATTGAATAACTTCAATGGCGTGCTGGAAGTCGTCAGCGCATTGAACTCCTCGGCTATACACAGACTAGAGCACACATTCAGGGTGAGTCGGCCTGTCAGTTCTATTGATTAAAGGCACATAGGATCATTTGCTATCATTCTCAAGAAAGAGGAACTTTGTATCAGTACTATAATAATAATAATAAGGGAATAACAGAGTGAGGACCTGGTCTTCAGTACTATAATAATAATAAGGGAATAACAGAGTGAGGACCTGGTCTTCACTGCGGGGTTGAGGGAAGGCCTCTTAAATAGACCGAGCCGAAGGCAACTAGCTTGACTAGGCTTGTCTTCACTTGTTAAAAAGGAAAAACCATTTAGTTATGAAATTAAAGAAAAGTATAAGGCAAAAAAAAAAAAAATACTCGGTCTCTGGTCAGCGCGCGCGTCGATTTTAATCATGCGCGCCAACCTTTTTTTTTTCTTAAAATTAACATGGAAGCTACAACAGCGCCCTCTATTGCCGCACCTACTCAAATTTTTGTACCAAGGAGCACCAAGGAATGGGGAAATTGCACCAAGGCATTTTTTTGTGGGCCTAATATCATTTTTTTATAACACTAACTTGTGGAAAGTCTTTTTGAAATTGTCACTCTGTTCAGTTATAGCATTCCTTTGAATTACTTTGGTGTTACTTGCACAGTTTCAAGTCGAATTTGCATAGTAAAACTGTATCATTTATATATTTGCAGGAGTTATCTCCCAGGAAGAAACAGGCCTTGGAAGAGGCCAAGGAACTCTCCGGAGACCATTACAAGAAGTACACAGAGAAGCTACGGTCTATTAATCCTCCCTGTGTACCATTTGTAGGTGGGTACCGGGCTCAGGCACATTGTTATATCAAATGGACCTTACAAATATCTGATTAAGACCCTTTCACACTATCCAAAATATGAAGATCCTGGGCAAATCCAGAGATTTCTGGAACCGCTTTCACTCTAACAAGAATCCAACATGGCATCTACTCGGGTCCTGTGCTGTAAATGGATTGAGAGGCTGTAGTCGGGTAGAAAATCCCAAATTTACCGCCACCCAGTTTAGATACTGGTGGAAGCATATGCCTTGTTTAAAGCTATAGTCCATCATTTGCAGCCATCTGAAAAAGTAACTGGCGTATTATTGTTGAAAAACATACTTGGTTGAAAGATAGCAAGTGGACTAAACTCCCTGTGAAATTAATCTTTCTGGCAAGCTATCATTTTGAAGTAATCAACGAAAGAAGGCCTTTCTAACGGTGCGTCTTAAGACGCACCGTAGGAAAATTTAAATTAGTAGTTCGTTTTGTTATTCTGTGCAGCGTGCGCAAGCATTGGCACGACGCAAGGGCGCCCGCGGTTGCTATAATTCGTCGGATCAGTGCGCGACATCGCGTATAGCTGCAGTTCAAAACATGATTCAGCAACGTTTGATTTAAAATTGAGATCCTAGAATGCTGTTTTTCTCGGAATATGCAGCTGAAGCTGAGCTGAAACTTCATTAGGTTAGTTGTTCAGTATCCTTCATTAGATTTTGAACAATTTTGTTGCTTCAAACGAACAAAATGCACAAATTACAAATGATGGACTATATCTTTAACCGTGTCCAATTGGACCTGGATTCACACTACGATGACCTGTGTTGATTTTAAAAACGGATGTGCAAGACAACAGTAGGAAAAGGCCGTTAGTCTCTGGTCTTTAGCTTCAGGAGGTCTTAGACCCCTGATGTTCTGGACTGGTACAATCTAGGTTCAAGTTCTGGGCCAGGAACATTAAATTCTTTAGTACGAAGCCAGAATTGAGAATCGTTCCATGTGTTTGGGCATTAGAAGTAAACTGCGTTATGAATAGGCTTGGGCGATATTTCAATAATACCGTGTAGTGACAACATTTGTTTGATACCAAACAATACCGAATGATCCTGATTTTGTCAAAATACTGGAAGAAAAAGATGACCTCCATATGGAATTTCATTATCACAATTTTCCCTATTAAAAAAATGTGGCAAGATGTGTGCAAAATAAAAGCCCTTTAAAAGGTGATCGAAACAACTTGGCAAGATCTACACCACAATGTACATGTTTATGGATGATTGTTTAAATTCCTTGTGGTCGCGGTATCTAGATCAGGTGAAAATTGTGCCTACTAGTCATCCAGCCAGGCCTTTGAAGATCTGCTCATGCTCATGGGCGTCGCCAGGATTTTTTTTAGAGGGGGGCAAAAATTTTTTTTGACAAAAAATGCTTGTATTTCTCAACACATTCTCGATTTATCAGTTTTAGAGGGGGGCAGGGACAGTTGCCCCCCCCCCCCCCCCCCCACTCATTAAATTTACACCACTTTGTCTTCGCGCCTCTTTTTCTTTTTTCTTTTTTTTTCTTTTTTTTTCTTCCTATTTCTTTTCTTTTTTTTTTGCTTTTCCAGGGGGGGGCAAGTGCCCCCCCTTGCCCCCCCCTCGCGACGCCCATGCTCATGCTGCCTGTTTGCAGTTTTCCAACCACAAAGTGTCTTATTGTACTTTGATGACATAAAAGTCCGCCCAGAAAAGTACCGTCCCTGAAAGCGTCATATTTTTGTGGCGGTACACCATGGACTTTTGAAAATCTAATACCGCACAAGTCTAATTATGAATCACTCCTATAGCTAGAGTATTATTGCTAAATCCTAACCTTCCCAAATCCTCTTTGCAAAATGGAGGATTTTGCATGATGGAGGTTATGATAAAAGTGTGTGGCCGATTTGGGGGATGCACTGTAACAAGGTCTTAGGCTGGACCTTGTGTTGTTTATGCTCAGCCGTGCATAAATTTAGGTCTAGATTATACTTAAGATCCTCTGTACTGCTCCAGGATGTCACTGGCTCTGCCTCAATATATTGACAGTGATTGCTGGAGGATTTTGCAGGATTCAGGCAGTGGTCACCCCTCCAAGGACTACAATCAAGAAATAAAGGAGGATTTGGGAGAATTGAGGCTGTATGCAATTTGGACATTTGAAGGATTTAGCAGTATTGAGGTTGTATCCTAGCAAAAATGCCTAGGGATTTAGGGTTAAATAATTCATGATAGTTTGTGTGAGTTTTTAAACCAAACTCTTTTTAACCATTACTTGGACTTCTTTCCTCCCCCTATCCCTCTCTTTAGGCATGTACCTGTCCAACATCCTCTTCACTGAGCAGGGTAACCCAGACTTCCTACACTCAGAGGTGGAGGGCCTGATCAACTTCAGCAAGCGGCGGAAGGTGGCGGAAATCACCGGGGAGATCCAACAGTACCAGAACCAGCCCTACTGTCTGCAGAGCGACAAGGGAATTAAGGTCAGTAATTTTAAAAGATGGACCCTCTCCGCCGAGCTAAAACAAAAACTTGATGCCTTCGACACAAAGGCCCTCCACCATATCAAGGGTATTAATTGGCAGGATTTTGTGAGTAACAAAGACCTCCGTCTTCTCATCAATCAACCTCCGGTCTTGCATCTCATGTCTTCGGCTGCTTGGGCATGTTGCTCGGGCCGATCCACCAATGGAACCTGCCCTTCTGCTGAAGGAGCCTGTCCCCAACTGGCTCCATCCAAGGGGTCGCCCCCGTTTGCGTTGGACGGACAACTTGGAGGGAGACCTCGGGGCAGTGGGGCTGAATCTGTCAGCCAGTTGGAGACTTACCAAGAACCGGCTGGACTGGAAACTGTGCTCTGATACCACTTTTTTCCTCAGAATCACAAGCCCTTTTAGAGTTTGTTGCTTCACATGGTTTATTCACAAACTTCACCCAAGGTTTTCTCTCCACAGTACAAGGCCCAAGTCAAATACATGTATACGGTCTTAAGTTGAATGTTTTTTTGGTTTTTGCTGTTGGTATTTTTTGCAATTGGTTTTGTTTTGCCAAAATTGCTGTGTTGTGTATGTGTGTAATGTGTGATATATTTTTGTACAACCCAAAAGTTGTTACAATCGATAACGAAGTTTCACATGGTGTTACTTGTACTCAATGATTTGGCAACCACAACAGCAAAACTGATTTGTGCTACGTGATACTTGCAAGAATCATAAAGATGTATGCCAGGATTCATGCCAGGATTGGCCTGTTCTAGTTGAAAACAAGTGGGATGCTTGAAAAATGTGGGGAAAAAGGAATAAAAAAAAGTTGATGAATGCAGGAGTGTTAAATTTCATTGGCTTGGTTCTGAAGTCATACCTGCATGTGATTTGAATTTTTCAGAGATTCTTTGAAAACTTGGACCCCATGGAGGACCAGTCGGAGAAGGAGTTCAACGATTACTTGTACGAGAAATCCTTGGAGATTGAACCCAGAAATTGCAAGCAACCACCGAAATTTGTAAGTACAAGTCCCTGTGTAAACCAACGAATCCTGGTTTTTTTTTTTAATTTAAGAAAGGGATTTACCAATCAGTTACCAATAAAACTGCACAGAATCTACCGGTGAAGTTGTTTGGCATGGTACAGAAAAACCAGCCTCCTTCAGGGAACCATGAAGCTTTGTATTTTGAATGCTCAACATAATGAAAAGTCACCGCGGGATACTAGTTTTCCTAAACCACTTGAAGCAGTCAACATTTGTCTACTATTGACCATCAAAGAAAGAGTACTAACCACTTCCTGAAAATTACAGAAGTCTGGAATGTAGGCGGGTTTTAGCAGTACCTTCTGCCTTGTTGAATGCCTTCTTTTAAACAATACTTTTATCTTTTTATTTTCCCTCTGCAGCCTCGCAAGTTTGAGTATTCGTTGAAGTCGCCGGGGATCAAGCCCTCTGCTAGTCGCCACATAGCCGGTACCCTGAGGGGTCAAAGCGGAGGGTCCAGTATGGAACTGAGGTCACCGCTATTCTCAACGGTACCCTGCCTCAAAGTCTTGCTTTCTTGTTCCTCTTTTGTTTTTTGGCCACTCTGTCTAATTTGCAATTAAAAGTTGCCAAATTCAAAACCGCTCACAATATCTCAAAATTTGAACGCCAGAAAGCATCATGTGTATATCATTTGGAGCTTTCACCATGCTTTGTGTCTTGTTTTAAATGTTCTCACCAATTCTGTGACAGTTTTTGAATAACTTTGAGTGTTTTTGCAGACCGCATGTAGAAATTTCAGTATAGGTGATAACCATATTTTTGTTCAAGAAACACAATTTCGTTGTTAGTGTTATCAGAGTAAACCGTATTTCCTTGGCCTTTAAGCTGATTTCTTCTGAGGCTTTCCTTGCCAAATCGACTCAATTTGTTATTAGGTTGTCACTGTATTTGATGAATATTGACTTCCTTAGTACACTTAGGGAAGAACTCCACCCTTAGTTAAAAGCTCACTGAGTAACAAAATGTGCTATTTCAAAACATTTAATCCCCTATTTTGCAAAATGGAAGTATAGTAAAGGCAGTATGAGGTGGGAAAACCTAAAAAGCTTGTGTGAGGTTTGCCATGTAACAAAAGAACAGACAAACATGTACTCTGAACAATGACAAACCAAACATTTATAAAGTTAGGAACAAGGAGCTAGTTGATACTACACTTTGACTGGCATAGATAAGATCATCAGGATCTCATTTTTGTACGCTGTTTGTTTCTTATGTAACCTCAGCTTATTTACCGTCTGACTCTGAGTTTTGCAAAATCCATTTAACAAGTACAACCCCTAAGGGCAAAAAAAAAAGTCTCCGGTTTCTAGTATGGAGCTTGCCCCAAAAGTGGTGCAGCGACGCGTTTTTTTTTTTTTTACTTTTTTTCTTCTTCAAATGTCGGCTGATGACTGCACATGGTGCCCGACTAAATTTGGTGCAAAATATATGGGAGTCTAGGGAGGCCACATAAAGCTTATACTTGATCTAAAAACACGTTAAAATTGTGCAGCAGCAGGATACCAGTCAAACCAGTGAGTTTGGCAGTTTTGAGACATCATCTTACATTGAAAATTTTTTTTTCATTTTGCCGACGTGCATGGCAATGACGACGCGCGCGTATACCAGAAACCGGAGACTTTTTTTTTTTGGCCTAAGGGCCCGTCTCAAATCATATCCAGGACGAGTTCCTGACACGTTGCAGGGTTCTGAACAACTTCCCCGCAACGGAGTTATCAGTATTGATGAGTCAAGTGTGAATATTTCCCAGGAACATGTCGGACAAATGCAGATCGTGTTCCGGACAAAGTGAATAAATGTGGAGTGCTGTGGCCTCGTGGTTAAGGGCAATAATTCTTGGGCAAGGCACTTTGTCACCCATTGCTTCTCTCCACCCAGGAGTAAATGGGTGCCTGCGAGGGCAGAGATGGTTCTTGTGATTGAATTAGCTTCCTTGCGCCTAACAGGCTGCATCGAGCTGTATACACCCCAGGGAGCTGAGATGGTATTTGGAATGTTTCATGTGCCCGATGAGCAGGGTAATAATGATGTAGCGCCTTGAGCACCAGTCCTGGTGGATACGTGCGCTTTATAAATATCCACTATTATTATTATTATTATTATCTACCCGCAACTTGTCAGGAACTTTTTCTGGATATAAATTTAACCGGGTCCTAATGTAATCACAAACCAACTTACTTACCGGTAATACTTGTGCACAGTGTTTGATCACCAGGTGTACACTCTTGCAGTAACGATGATTTACCTACTGTCATTTGTATTCACTTTGGCAGAGAACAACAGATGAGGAGTCTATCACCTCCCCCAAGGCAATGAGTGGGACTCCGCCCTCCCCACACACCCCCACCACTCCCTCTAGTAGCTCCGTCTTCAATGACAACAGTGTTTTTGCTAATGTGGAGATAGGTAAGGACTCGCCAACTACTGGGGAGTGTGGCCTAGTGGCTAGGGTTTGTGACTCATGATCAGAGGGTCAGGGGTTCGAATCCAGCTGCTGGCCATATGTTGTGTCCTTGGGCAAGCCACGTGTTTATTGCAGTCAGTAAATCATGTTTGCTGTCAAAATTCACTGATGAGAGGTGATAATCTGTGTTGAGTCAGTGGTGACAATATCAGTGCTCAACTACAGACTTTTTCACCAGTGTCTGTGGTTACAATCCACTCAGTTTCAGTAATGCCAGTGAAAAACATTACACAAATTTAGTTTCAATTCTATGGGGATAGTAATGTCATTGCAGTGCATTGTACCAACCATTATAATCTTATAAGCTTCCTAGAAAACAAATGGCAGGCAAATTGGTCAGTCATGACTTGCCGTGACCTATGCCACTCATTTGCAACTGAACTGATCCCTGTTTTATTGCTGGTGTTTTGCCAGGTTGCAGCGGCCAAGATGACGAGGAGCTTCCTCCCCCAGTCCCACCCAGGATGAGGATAGGCAGCAACTCCCCGACTAGACCCTCAGATGTCTCAGAGCCGCCCCTCCTGCCACCCAAGACTAAGCCTCCACTGCCCCCACGCCGGAACTCTGCCCACCACCCTCCCAGTTACCTGTCCCAGCACAGCTCGCCTGCAACTCACTACACTGGGGGTGCTGCCGCGGCCTCCTCCGCATCAACTCAGCCTTACCCTTCGGCCCAGACCAGCCAGCCAGACATGAACGGCAGCATCCCTGCCGTGCCACCTAGAATCCACCGTAAGAGTCCGTCCTTCCCTCAAGACCACCACATACGCCGTACGGCCTCGGTCAGCACCCCGCCCTCCTGCTCGTCACCCAATGCGTTCTCGCACCGCCGGGAGGTGCCGTCGCCGGTGCCCCACCCGACCCAGTTTGAGTCCCCCTGGGTGCCCAAAGTCAAGAGGCCCTCAACCCCCACTCTCAACCAGTCCTTTCACTTGCAATTTGCAAACTTGAGTTGTTCTTCCACCATGCCGAATCCAATGCAACAGCAGCAGCAGCAGCAACAGCAAAAGTTCTATCAGCAGCAGCAGCTGTACCAGCAGCAAACTTTTCAGCAGCAGCAACACCCCCACCACCATCACCACCTCCATCAGCAGCAACAACAACAACAGCAGCTGCAGCTGCCGCATCAACAAACACTAGCAAACCAGCACTTTGTTGAGACGCAGCAATATCAACCATCAGTACCAAACAGAGTCTCTCTGAGTGCGCCCCCGGTCCCTCTCAGACCCCACGAGCAGCAGAACTCCCAACCTAAGGGCCACTCCGTACCCACAGAACAAGTCTAATTGCTCCATCCCATTGACAGTACAACTGAGGTTTTTTTGTTAAAATATGTCTTAATTATTTAATTCCAGTATATATCTGTGAATCTGATTAATGCCGTAATTGAGAATGACGCAGGTGACATCGCTTCATATACTAACTCCATGTACTTACTCCGAACAACATCAGAGAATGCCTCTGAAGAAGTCCACTTGAAACTCTCTGCAGCGGTTGGAAATGTAGAACAATCCGCATCGTCGTCATGAATCACGGGAAGGAAGTGTTAACATGTGAATCACCAAGGTACAAGTTGCAGGATTCTCCTCTGTGCTGCATTAGTCTCTTTATTGTCCTGACAACCCGACAGCAGTCTAACCTGACTTGAATTGAAACCTGCCCCATGAGGCATAACTTGCAGGATTTGGAAAGCTCTGAGATATGTACGGCTGACCTGACAATAGGAAGCCTCGACAACAGCTGCTAAAAGCACCAACGTGTGGTGTTTGTGCTGCACTCAACCAGTTGATAGTGCTGCACACTCTTAGCAGACCTCCACTTTAAGGTGACAACCATTGGGTCCTGCCAACTACTAGGCTACTGTTTATGTAGGCTGATCACATGCTCGCATCTTGCATCCAGGGGGTCAACGAGAACCAGTGTCGGAAGGGTAAATATTTGTATCTTTCCATGGTGGGAATCCATTGCATTGGACGTTGGTGCCATGTCTCCCTTCAGTGTGCATGTGTGGTTCTGGTTAAACAACCAGATGCTTTGATGCTCAGTTTGTCTTCAGGAAACTGCGAGATCCTTCAAGGGGAGTCAAACACATATAATTCACAGTTGATATCGGCGATACTACCTGAGGCTGCCAGACGTGGCAATGTTTCATCCCCTTGGCGTTGAGGTTGGATCAAAGAAACAAATTAAATGGTTTAGAACGCGGAATTGCAAAGTATTGGCAATTACACAAATGCGCATAATTATTATTAGTTTAGGACCATTCTGGTACGGGTCTTTACTCAGCTGAAGACCAGACCAGTGTTGTCACGTGAATAAGCACTATGGTACGACTATGGATTGGCAGAATCTCTTTTAGATGTAAATCAATGATCTATCATGTAACCAGCCTTTGCAAAGTTAGTCTAAGAGTAGGAATTGTTTGCCTGAATTTTACCAAGTCCTGCAGATCAAGTGACACAGGGTACACTGTATAAACGAATACGACTTTTTTTTTACTCCAGGACACTGTAGCAGTTTTTTTCGTCTGTACTGAGTATTTGCCACTGTAATTGCATTCCTCTTGAAAATTGCTAGTCGTATGAATGTGGATGCTTTGGTTATTTTATAAATATGTCTGAATAGAGAATAGGGTCTAAATCCATGATACCATGTGCTGTCTGTCAATTTGGGGTGTTACAGTGGTCAGACGACTGCAAACGGCCATCACTTGAGCTTGCTGGATTTTCCATGCCCTGCGGCAAGGCCGGCCAGACTCACTATAAGATTGTATTACACAAACATGGTTCTTGTCAGAGGGCTGGTGTCTGGCTAGGTTTTCAGAGACAGTAGGGCAACCCAGGCAAAAGGGGCACTGACCAACTTATTTTTGAATGAGGAACATGTGAAATATGAAATTTGTAACCAAAAAATGTCGCAGCAATTAAAAAAATTAAGCAAACCAGACTTGATTTTAGAACACAATCACTCAGTGGAGGGTTTTGATTGGACAAATCAACTCTTCCAAACAGCTCCCCTTTTTAACGATGTGAAGGCACTGTGCCATGCTGAAGACCTTGCTCTAGTGATTGCTAGAACTCAGTTGCTAGTTCAACTATTCGCAGATGAAAATAATTTTACATTCTTGGTACTGAAGTTGAAGTTGCCTAACATTGATCCTGTTTCAGTGCAGGAAACACCTTATGAAGGAAATTGTCCCAGAAACTAAAATCGCAAAGGTGGTCCGATATGTTACTTAAAATAGTTGCTTTTGTCAAAAGTGGTGAAATTTGGTATGACATCATTTTTGCCCTTATTTTTTTTTTTTGAAGGGGGGGGGGGGGGTGGTTATAAATCAGCTACATGTAGATTTTTCCCCGACGTCAACTTAAACCACTAACATCCTGTATTGTCACAAATCGTCACCGTTTTCACGAAGGGACGGGCATGTCAAAATTGACAATTTTTTCGATTTTGAGTGTTTTCACTATTTTGCTTTAAAACATGGTACTTACGCATTCTGACATGTTTCTGTGAGCAAAACATCATTAATTATAGAATAACATTAATGATGCCTGGGGCAGGCATCTCGATAATTGCATTTTGCGATTTCACGAAGAGACGCGAACATGCCTGCCCCTTGATTACGTACAAAATGTATTGCACGGAAAGGCGTAAAAGTAGGTCAACTGAGATTTTTGTTTGTACGAAGGGACGGGCATCTTTGTTACATTCTCAGCTGCGCGCGCGCGCGTAATCACACGCACCCTTCCTATAGAAAAACGCATCGAACAAGAAGAGCGTAAATTCGGAAAAGTGGAATTTTTGTTTTCACGAAGGGATGGGCATCTTAACTAATTAATTTTGGCTAATTAACCACTGTATTTGTTAATATTACTGGGTTCAAATTAAAGTTTACCTATCGAAGAATTATGCCAAGGTTTCCTTACTGCATAAAGTTGTTGCAAACTAGTAGTTTTTGCAGTTTTAAAAACGGAGAAACTTCTCTTGTGATTATCTCGAAAAAGGTTTTTCTTCAAAATCCACATGCCTGTCTCTTCGTGAAAACGGTGACGAAATATACAGCTGAAAAATCATACTTATTTGGCAATTTTTTACAAAAACTAATATTGTTATAACAACATGTCCCTTCTACTGCCACATGATGTATTTCTTTTTAATAATGAATTGGCAATAGTTGGGGGCGGGGGAATAAAAACTTGATGAAAACTGCTCAAGTTATTTCCAAGGGTTGTCTTTTGTTCAGATTTGGATATCAGAATCAAATGAAAAAGTATAAAAATGCAAACAGAAAAGACCAATAAGTGGAATAGAAGGGGACTGCTTTTGCTGCCTCAACACACAACACATTGTCCCGGTTTTCAGAAAAAAAAAAAAAATTGCGGTAAGACAATGTGCTGTTTCACGAAAACCATCACAATGTACATTCATGCAGGCAACTGAATGTGCATTTCCAATGACTCTTTCGTGAATTGAAACCAATCCGAAATGCATCCTCTGTTCCTGCAGACAAAGCCAAGTTGTGCAGCATTTGTTCCAATATGTATACTTGATTGATTTGGCATGATTTACCCCTTCATCAATTCACGATCTCTCTGGTTTGACCTGTGGGTTACTCCCATTGGTTATTTTTATACGCTATCCCGGCAACCAATCAAAGCGCAGATGAAAAATTGTCAGTACCTAAAAAAATATATTTTTACTTTTTATGAAAACGTTATTTTTTAAAACTTGGTTCTTAAACTTGTTGATGGCACCACGGAGAGAGAGTCATTGTAAAACTTGATATTCTTCAAATGTTCGGTTTGGAACGGCTCAATAAGCATGAATACAAGTCCAATTCTGTCATGTGAATTTAATATTTGTTCATGTTATATTTAAACTATGTATGTGAGCGACTATTCACCTAATTTACTGAATGTGCTATTGTATATACTTATTGTGTATATGTTACATAATAATTAAATGTTTTTATTAATATTCAATCAGATTTTGCTTTCTGTGAAGTTTACGACCACAGTAAATGTTAATTTTTTTAACAAAATGTTTTGCAAGCATACCTCTATGTGAATAAGTTAATGTGAGGTGGATTTAAAGTCTGCACTCTTTGTATGGCCTGTGGGGTTTTTTTTGGGGGGGGGGGGGGGGAAGCAACCCTCCAACGCCACAAAATCTGTCTCAAAACTAAAAGTTTGGAGTACTTTTGTGATTTTATATTTTCTGTGTTTTCTGTATAGCGAGGCTACCATGTTAACAAGTGGTTGATGATTAAAGGAAAATAGAAAAAAAAAAAAAAAAACCCAAATGTTGGGACTATTGTTTTATTGAAGTACTGCATGTAGCACTTTCAAAATCTAGGATATGAAAGCCCAATTCATGAGCTTTCTTTCAGTACAAGAATCATTCAAATCACTCGTGTAATTTTCAAGTTACGGAATTTTAAACACAACCACCGTTTTAAAATTCTGTCTACGGATCACAAAAAAGTTCAGTGTTCTTTCAGCAAAACGAAAACAAATCACAGGGATGTGTGTGAATTGTTTCCATTTTGCTGAAAGAACGCACACCTTTTTTGTGATCCGTGGACAGAACCTTAAAATGGTGGTTGTGTTTAAAATTCCGTAACTTGAAAAGTACTTGAGTGATTTGCATGATTTTGGTACTAAATGAAAGCTTGTGAATTGGGCTTTTATATTCTAGATTTTGAAAGAGCTACATCCAGAACTTCACTAAAACAAAAGTCCCGACATTTGGGTTTTTTTTTTTACTCAGCCTGTACAATAGTAATAGTCTTCACATACTTTGTCTATTGCAGAACACAGTGTGCGGTACATTACACCAAAATGGAGTCACAAAACGTGTTTAGCCACATTTGTAATTGTTCTCAACTCCATGTGTTATCATTCATCCCAAAGTGTCAATCCCATCAGTAATTCGTTAATAATACAATTCCTGTTACACTGTTTTCTTTCTTCATTCTCGACTTAATATCTTGAAAAGTACCCTATGCAATATATCTACTAAATTGTAACAGTACAGTGTACGTCCCCCGACGAAATGAAAACATGCAAAAGAAACATTTGTAGAAACCTTATTTTGTTAGTATCAGTACTTTATAAAACACATCAAAAAGCTCATTTTCTGAAAATTGTGAAAAAGTTGCTAGATTTCAGGGGAAAAAAAATTCATTATAGAGCCTTTGCATTCCACAGCCATTTTATTGTTATTTTCATTCGATAATGCACTTCTCTTGCATATAGCTCTGTGCCACAAACGCACCTCAGAGATGACTGCCATGCAAATGGTCTATTGATGGAGTAATTTATAGGAGCAATATCCCAAGTTATTAAAGCAGAAAGTCGGCTGTATTATTGAAAAACTTTTTTTTGGTAAAGCAAACCTGTGATGCTTTTAAAGTTGCTTTCCCAAATTGTTCAACAAATTTGATTTTTGTTCTCTTAAAAAAGGGAATATGCAACATTTGCTTTTGCTGTAATTTTCAGAAATCAGAAATGGATGAATTTGGGGGGTTAGTATTTTATAACAAATATTGTTACACTGACTTGTTTGAAGTTTTGTGTTAGTAGATGCTGGAAAAACCAAGAAAAACAATCATGTTCTGGTAGTCTGGTTTCCAGACCCCACTTAAATTGAAATGGAGCAATTTATAGACATTGGGGAATTGTAAGGTTATGGAACCAGTCTAGAAGGCTTGTACCCGTTCATACATGTAGATGTGCAACCGAATGCAAACAAAATTCAGACTAATTAAACATGGTCAATTGGGGGCAGTATTTGAAAGAAAAAAGCCAGTTTTTTCCAACACTAGTCGGCCGACCAGTGTTGGAAATTGATACAAAAATACCACTTTTTTGTTTAAACGTCAGCAAACCAGGTGCCATGATTTTATAGGATGCTTTAGACCGTCATTCACAAACACTCCAGTAAGGTATTTCATATTAATTGGGTACTGTTGTTTTTTGATATTTGCAAATGTTGTATATTCTCTTTAATAAAGTTTCAACTTGTATGGTTTATTATTCGAACCAAAGTTTTTTTCTCTTTTTTGGGAGTCTGCAACCCTCTGACAATCTACAATATAGATACTGATTGTGGGGCGGGAACCAGTCTACCCCGTAAGAGTGGAATTATTTTTGGGACGTAAATAATTTGAAATTTGTAAAAGTAATAATTCAATAACAAAACGTGTGCAGATTTTGTCTTATTCAAAAGTGAATAACTTTGGTATTGCTAGAAAAAAAAATAGCAATTTAGAAAAGGAATCTATTTTTCAGAATGTAACTGGAAACACGAGGGGTATGCAACTGTAAGAACTGTGTTCATTCAGAATGAGAGATTACAAAAATGGATGTTCCAAATAATTTAGCATTTATCTAGTGTTGTGTGTGTGCACATGGATGTGTTTGCTCAGTGGGACGGTGCGCGTGCGTGTTATAGGCTAAAAGTGTGTCGTACAGGTATTGTGTAAAATAAGTTTAACGTGTAAAACATGTATATTACGGCTTGGAAAACTATCCAACCCTGTGTGATTTGGTCAGTTCTGTGACAGACTTAATATTTGTTTAGGGTCAGTACCATTTGTGAAGTACGCTATTTTCTATGGACAATTGAATGTGGTGCAAAAAAAAAAAAACGTAATAAACATCTGTAAATAAAATAATCTCTGTTATGAAATTTGAAACGCCAGTGTTCGTTATATTTATTGACTGCGCAGATATCCCTGCAGTTGCAACAAGTTTTAAGTATAGCCTTGTCCTTTCTTGTTCTCATTTCCCCCCCCCCCAAAAAAAGATAGTCGTAAGTGGAATCATGTAGGTATACAAGATAAAATTATACAAGATCTTCAATAACTTTATATAAAATAATGCACACTGTGTCAAAGTATGTACAATTTAGTCTGCTGAATACCAAACGTTATTACAAATTTTACAAGAATTTATTAGATGGGATCGAAATTAAAGAAACACATAATTAACGTATTACCCACTACTTGTATACAAATGGTACAACAAAAGAATTGTCTCTTGGGATAATGTTAATTTGATCCCCGCATACTCCTTCTCTTAGCGATAAGTGTTACTGGTTTCTTTAACGTGCATTACCCAACACACGGGACCTACGGATTTACGTCCCATCCGAAAGGCTAGTGGTTACAAGTTCCCCTTGCCATTACTGTCCGTAACTTTGACGTTCCCTGAAATCTCTTGAGTGGTTTGTGAGCGATTTGGCCCCCATCCCTTACAGAGGAAAAATCAGAAGTGCTTATAATTGCGGTTCTGCTATCAAGCTTGGGAGGGGACCACACTTTGACAAGAATGTTGTAACTATACTTGCCAAGTATTATTGCAGTTCTGCGCTATCAGCTTCGGGCGGGAACAATTTGTGATAATATCACTTACCAAACGTCTGGTTAGCTCGATAGCAGACTGTTTTATTGCATTATCATACGTGATACGGGGCAAAATCTCGGAGACAAAGACGACAGTATGTGGGAGTATCTCCTGCGTTATGGAGAGACACTGCCTCGCCATGATATTTAAGAGTTGCACACAAGAAATCGCACAACCCCTGTGGCATACAATATCTGGTTCCACCGGGGGCTGGGACTGGAATGTCCGAGCGGATGATCGAGGTCGTCCCCGCCTACGCTTCACGCCATCGACCGGCCCAGAGGCAGCTCGCCCCTTAGACTTGGGCATAAATCCAAAAAGCGATGATAAATTATTTGAAGCTTCAATTCCATTGGCCTCAAATCGATTGTACCATTTTTGGCTAAATGCCCCCCCCCCCCCCAGTGTTTAAAATGCTATGGACCGCAACAATTTAACCGAAATTTAAGATTATTCCTTTACAACCATCCTATATCAACTCAAAAGTCACCCTTTATAAGTGTAAATTTGATTTACACAATGATTTCAATATTTACAAAAATAGTACACATTTACATTTTGCAATGATTTTCAATGTTTGGGAACATAAAAGTAATACTCAATATGACATTGCATCTGTTTAGTCAGTTTTGATGATAAGTATTACGATAGACCAGCCCCCCCCCCCCCCCCCCCCACCCTATAATTGTACTATAAACAATTATACACCTCTGTTCATATCCTTAAATTCCACATTGTAGTGTTGCAATCTTTGTAGTGTTGCAATACAGACTCCTTCCTGTATTACTGTACGGGGTGGATACAAAAAAAGAAACTGAGATATTATTGCTAATTGGAACAGAAGTAGGGCACATGTGAATCAAAGGGAGATATCCTCTGTTAGGGTTGAATCTCCTCTTTAAAATGACACCCTGGTCATGTCATTACATTCACGGTTGACTGAGCAGTGACCAATTTTATGAAAGGGTCTATTTATAGAGACTTGCGCCACTTTTCAACTGTGGTTTTTGTGGTGTCATTGGTCACAGAGTTAACGGCTATGGTTGCCAATCAAGGCAGGCTGGGGGGGGGGGGGGGAACAAGAAGAGATTTCACCATGAAAAGTGGCGCAATTCTCTAAATAATGAGTCACATGCCAAATTTGGGATGTGCATGTGAAACACATGTGCACATGGTATGTTCCCTACACAAGAGTGGTCACAAAGCAATGTCTACTGTTTCTTGCATCATGAGCATCATTCAGAAAATCGCTTGCTTCTACTACTCAAAACATGAACATAGAGGGAATGGTCATGTCAAGGTATTGGGTTTGATGGTTGGGGGTCTGGGTGTTGCTGGCTTCTCGTCAGTAGGTGAGAAGAATTTCAGGTAAACCACGACACCTAGAATGGCTAACTCCACGAGAATGACGGCCATCAAGATCAGCTTGTTGGTTATGATCCTGTGAATACCAACAAAAAATGATCATTGGTGAAGATGAACTGTTTTATGATCGGAGGAAAATTTATCGAAACTACGTGATGTTGCCCACATGCGGGTCCTATTGGATCAGTGTATTGACTGGAGCAGGATTTGAACTGCAGTAGGTTCACATCCCACTCTACTCAGTTTCTTTTGCTTAAAGGTAGAGTATATCATTTGTCACTTGTGCATTTGTTCCATTTGAAGCAACAACATTGCTCAAAATATAAAGAAGGGTGCTTAACAACTAACCTGATGAAGTTTTAGCTCAGTGAATGTTGTATATTCTGAGAAAACAATATTCTAGGATCTTGATTTCATTTCAAAAGTTGCCAAGTCATGTTTTGAATTGCGCCCGAAATCAGCGTCCGGGACACGTTCTCACTCGGTCGATTGCAGCTATGCAATGTCCGCACTAAACCAACGAATTATAACAACTGCATGCGCATGTGCGTGGTGTCAACGCTTGCGCGCACCCATTCACGGCTTCGCCGAATTAAAAACGAACTACTAACGAAAATTTCCAAAAATGCATCTTTAGACACATCTTTGGAAATGAACTTCTTTTATTGTTTTCTTCAAAATGACAGCATGCCAGAAAAATAATTTCACAGGGAGTTTAGTGCCATGACTATCTTTAAACCAAGCATACTTTTCAACAATAATTTCTTCAGAAACTTTTTGGATAGCTGCAAATGATGAACTCTACCTTTAACCTTGCATTGGTTAGAGCTTAAAGAAATTTGCCACCAATAGCACCCTTGGATAGCGCAGTGGTACGAGAAAACTGTATTTCCCTACCTTTGACTGTTTTTATTTCCTACATTACATCACGTGAAAAAATATGTACTTGTCGCCTACCTTCTTCCCATGGTGTTCAGGACCCTCTTGCTTTTGCCCAAACTCTGGTCCATATTCTGAAGCTGTTGTTTCAAGTGAAAAGATTATTATATTAGTCTGTGGATGTCATTCTGAGAAGGCATTTCTCTGCCAATCAACAAATTACATTGTCCAAAGTCTGTAATCTCCTTGACCATTTCTAGATGATGGCTCTATGTAAGATTTGAAAAATACACTTTCAGGTTTAATCACTGAGCTCTTAAAAGCTCCGTCACTGACATTACAAAACGATGGAATTGCACCTCTGTTTTTGACAGAACACATCACAAATAGCCTGTCATCTTAAAAGAAATATATACAGCATTTGCTTTTGCTGTAATTTTCAGAAATGGATGGATTTGGGAATAAGTATTTTATAACAAATATTGTTACACCGACTTGTTTGAATTTATGTGTTCATACATGCTGGAAAAACCAAGAAACACAATCGTGATCTTGTAGTCTGGTTCCCTGACCCCGCTTGAATTGAAATGGAGCAATTTATAGACGTCAGGGAATTGTAAGGTCAGGGAACCAGTCTAGGTGGCTTGTACCCGTTCACAGTTGCGTAATCAATTGCAAACAAAATTCAGACTTACTAAATATGGTAAATTTGAGACAGTATTAAAAAAAGCCAGTTTTTTCAACGCTGGTCGGCCAACCAGCGTTGGAAATTTATACAAAAATACCACTTTTCTTGAAATGTCAGCACACCAGGTGCCGTGATTTTACAGGATGCTTTAGACTGTCATTCACTAGCAGTCCAGCAAGGTATTTCATAATAATTGGTAGTTTTATTTTTGAAGTTTGTAAAAGTTGTGTATTCCCTTTAATGCAAAAGCATCGGTACAAACCTTGTCTTTAGCATTCAGGAGTTGTTCTTTCTGGCCGTCCAGTTCGTCAATAATCCCCACCCCAATCTCATCCGTCTCTGCTGCTATCTGATGGGTTCTAGCCAGGCTGTCGCTGGTCCTGTTTAGTGTCTCCTGTCCTTGTAGAAGCCTAGATTTCTGATTGCTCTGAGCCAACTAAACATGAACACATATAAACAAGCTCAAAATAATCTCGGAAGTTGCAGGCCAATGAGTTTGTATTCATTCATGAATGACGTGATTTTGCCATGTAATTTCTGGAAGGAGTACAGAATGAGTAAAAAAAAAAGAAACCCAAATGTCGACACCAAGGTAAGTGTTCTTTCAGCAAAACGAAAGCAAATCACATAGGGATGTGTGTCAATTGTTTTCGTTTTGCTGAAAGAACGCACATTTTTTGTGTGATTCGTGGACAGAACTTTAAAACCGTAAGTCTGTAACTTGAAAAGTACATGAATGATTTGAATGATTCTTGTACTAGAAGAAAGCTTATGAATTGGGCTTTCATGTCCTAGATTTTGAAAGTGCTACATGCAGAACTTCACTAAAACAATACTCCCGACATTTGGGTTTCGTTTTTTTTTACTTACCCTGTAGTGTCTTGAGTACAAAAATCAGGCTGTAGACCTGCTGTAGCTTATAAGTATTTGTTGAACTTCACAAGGCAAACGTAGTGACCTCGATAATGCAACTCTGGACTACCTCACTGGAGACCCATTAAAGTGACACATGGCCTGAGGTAGTTGGCCAAGGTGATATATTTTGCACAGGTGTGCATCCAAAGTCCGTTACGAATGAACCAACTAACTAAAGCCCGGTTCATACTCGGCACGAAAGAGAAAGAGAAAGCGAATGCGAATTTGTGATGTCATGGCAAGTATTCGCGCTGCGAATTTGTAAAAGTTGAACATATTTCAACTTGGGCAAATTTTGCAGCGAACGTGCCATGACGTCAAATTCGCTTCACATTTGCATTTGCGTGAAGTATGAACCGGGCTTAACAGAGAGACATAAGGACTTGAAGAGCTGCATGCTTGTCCGCAGCTAAAGATGACACAGGTTTTCCGTTTGCAGCTGTCATAGTACACCTCCTGTTTGCCCTAAATTTCTATATAAGAAATGCATTCCCCATGCTATTTTCGAGTTTCTCCTCGAAAAATAGATTTGTTTTTTTCAACTGTTATTTTTCCAGCAATAAAAAAGTTATTCACTTTAAACGAGACATCAAACGAAATAATCCACCAAACGTTTACTTATTGAATTGTATTTTTCTCACAAAACTTGAATTATTGGCACTTGACAAGAGCCCGATAAACAATAACAGTGACCTCTTGGGCGACTGTGCCATATATGTACATGCAGGAACTTCTGGCTCAGTTTGAGGAATGCCAGTATTGCGTTCTGGAGGGCGCATTGCCAAAGCCTACCTCAGAATTTCTCAGTTCAAAATTTGAAGTTCAACCTTCCATTGTGTTCAAAAAGTCAGAAATGATTTACTGCCAGTCACGGCATCAAATAAAATGTTAAGTAAAACTATATTTACATTGATTTTGTCATCAAAATTGCTTTGTGAGTGGAAAAGTTCGCTGCGGCCACTTCTTCCATCACCACTCCGCTTCTGAAAGGTCATTCAAGAAACAAATAATTGAGTTACTGTAGAGTTTCACGTGCAAGATCAATGCAACATGGTCAATATAATGTCACTGTGCTTACAAGACAAGTCTAACGCTCCCTCTCTGGCTGGCAAATTCAACAAAGCCAACCCTGCAGTCAAAAAAAATCAGGTGACTGTTTGAGTGCTCCCTTCTCGCATAAAGCAGGCTTGACTGGTTGTGACTGTTCTGAAACATGATGCAGCTATGCTTTGACTGTAGGTGACTGATAAGCCAGCTGTGCCTACCAGTTACCCGCTTTTGTCTGTTGGTGGAATATGACTAGTCACGGTGCCTATAGATATATGATCTGACGGCTGGTGATAGCCTGCCTAAAAGGCACAGAAGGTGAAGTGGAATGAATTTTCGACTGTCTGTGACTGATCAAAAAAAAGGAGGGTTAATTAAAGCTGGACCCAGAGCACACTAAATTCTATTCAATTGATTCAGAATAGCTTAAAAGTTCTTAGAATACATGGTACATGTATTTTGACGGAAATGAAAATCATGTCATTTGCATGATTACTTGACTAATTGCCTACACATGTAGGAGTAGCATGTAAGTACTTTGGAGGATTGAGATGGGTTAGGGTTAACCCTAATTAGCCCTCCAGGGTATCACGTCAACATTAGCACTGCCACATTCAATTGCTGTTTTAACAAAGCTTATTTTCTAAACTGTAAGGGTAAATACATATATACTGGTAGCTGTTGTTGCTAATTTCGAATCTACATGTGGCTCATCTCTACCTGTTCATTTACCAAATTTGTACTTTGTTCCATGGCTTTTTATTTTTGGTGCTAGCATTTTATTTGGAGGCATTGTATTGGTTTTGTATTCTTACTAAAATATGCTGGATGACGAAATGCAGTAGCGATAAATCCAAGAAGAGGTAATATTAACATTCAAAGTTTGTCATTTGTGTCAGGATCACCGTGCAACCTACCAGGTCCCTGTTGATTTTGTCCAATTCCCTTCTGTGGTTCCTGACCTTGGCTACCATCTGACTGCGATAACTCCCAGGGGCTGGCTTAGCCTCCTCCTCCATCTCTTGCAGCTGACAAGAACAAAACATAGCAATTTCTTTCTGAACTCTTTATGGTCTTGATTTTTTGAATTTGATTCTTTCTGGTATCCCCCCCCCCAAAAAAAATCATGCGCCCCTCGGGTGTTCAAAACATCATATCCCACATCACAGCAGTGAACAATTGTTTTGTTATACCTCTGTCTTGGATTCCTTGGACTTTGAAAACACGAAAACAAACAGCAGTAAACACAACAATCGTGACAATCGAACGTCAACTCACATGCATGTCAAAACCGTGCTCGAAACAGCTGATCGTCTGCTAGTTCACTGCTCCCACTCATGTGTGAAAACATGGTGAAAATAACGTGGGTACCAACGATACAAGCATTTCACACCGTACGTACCGTACGTACAAAGTCATAGCCCTCTCCCTGTGGGATATCACGTACATGATACACCACAGGGAGTGTGCCATGACTTTCTATATACTTAACACGGGATCGTTCTAGGTATAACAAATGTACTTGGCTTAGAGATATGAACAATTTGATTCGAATATTTTTAATATCAAAGATAAAAACAACGCGCAAAGCCCGTTTCATATTTCAAAGACTGTTGGATGGGGAACATTTAGGTTATTACATTTTGCATCAATCTCAATTTATTTATCTTTTTTTTTTGGGGGGGGGGGGGAACGGGGAGGAGGGGGGGGGGGGCAGGGGATGAGCTGGGGTTGGGAAGGCAAGAGGGCGGAAACTCTAGAGAAGGATTTGTCAAAGTTACTCACCACAGCAGCTGCCTCTTCCGAAGCTCTCTCAGCATCTCGAATCAACTTCTTACGTTCCTCTGCAAACAATTATCCCCACAGAAATATCATTCAATGCATTTAGTTCTTGCAATTTGCAGCCAAGGAGTACATTGCAATCACTGCAAGTATCGTACCTTTTAAATGTGAAGTACAGGCTGATATTTTTGTCGGCAAACTTTGTTGGACTGTGGACAAGGTGAGCAGGGGCCATACAAATCGGGATATTTTGTAACAATTTGTTTGCTGTCACTTGGGTTTGAGCGACTCTCCACCAGAGTTGAATACACTTGATTCCAAACCAGTTATCAGAATCATAAGATCCTCTTTCGTAAAGGCAAATTCTCTTTCTGTAATAACCACCTCTTGCTCCTTAAAGGGAAACATCAAAAAACTAAATGATCAAATTATCACGAAATATTTTACTGGATTGTTAGGGAATGACAGTCCAAAGCAACCTGTAAAATTGTGGCTCCTGGTGTGCTGACATTTTCCAGAAAACTTGTATTTTTCCAAAGCTGGTCAGCCGACCAGCGTTGGAGAAAACTGGCCTTTTTTTCAAAACTGCTCCTAATTTTTCATATTTGGTTATTCCACATTTTCTTTGCAATTGTTTACACACCTGTGAAATCGTACAAGCCGGCTAGACTGATTCTCTGACCTTACAACTCCCCAAAGTCTATACATTGCTCTGTTTAATCTTAAGTGGGGTCAGGGAACCAGACTACAAGAACATGGTTGGTTTTCTTGGATTTTATAGCATCTCCGAACCCAAAACGTGAAGCAAGCCAGCTTAACAATATTTGCTACAACATACTAAACCTCCAAATCCATTTATTTCTGACAATTACAACAAAAGCAAATGTTGTACATGTACATTCTGTTTAAGTGTCTATCCCAGGCAGCACCTTGTTATTCTGAAGACTGGCTGACTTAAAAAAGAGTTCAATAAAGCCGGAATGTAACAGCATCTGCTACACCACAAAAATCTGATGCACACCAAGGCAAGCTGATATATTTCTTCATTGAAAACTGCATACATGTACGTGAACATTAGTTTGAAAATAATGTTTAAGAGAGAGAGAGATTGATTCCGTGACATGCTACAGCCAGAGAGATTCCATCTTCATGACCTCTGTCAAGTGCTACACGTACAATTCTCAGGTGAATTTCATTTACATTTTTTCTCAATGTTTGGTGAGGAAAGTTTTAATTCTAAAATGGAACCATATCTTCTGAATGTCATCATACATGTAACGGATTCCAAACATCTTAGAGACACCCAACCCTTATGCTACAGTCCATAGGGGGGCCGAGGAACGAGAAGCAATTTTCACAGGCAACTTGGCAGCAACCAATTCCACTGTATTAGCTAAATAAACCCTATGGAAGAACACAGACATTTTTCCAACAGTTTTGAGAAATTCCTCGAAACACTGTTGTTTCCTTATTAGAGATTACTTGGAACATGTGGCCTGTATATTGCTTGGCGTGACACAGCCCTGTAAAGAAAAGGTATTATTCTTATTAGTCAACATACTCACCCCCACTGGATTTGGGAATGGTGACCTCGATCCGATACTTCAAATCTTCCAAGAGAGTGGCTAACTCCTCCTGGTATCGTTCAAATTTCTCCGATGACATGACTGACAAATTAATTTCCCAGAAATGTACTCATCACAACAGACACGAAGCTTCTAACTACGACACCTAAAATACAATCAAAGAAATTCTGTACTATTAATACAAATGTACGGCACAGATTTGCAAAAATATAAGTTTAGAAAAAAACAAGATCTGCAAATAGACGGTTTGCAAATTGTTACACCCCTCTACATGCATACATTGTATGCCAGTCAAGAACAGGCAGCAGACATGTATTCTAGTTATTATGAAACCATGGAGGTAGCAAAAGACTGTTTCTTAACCAGTTTGCGCCGGACGACGCAATGGTTTTGCGGTATTCGGAACAGATGACGGATAGACACCAACAGAGCGAGGCCGGAAATATCTGTCAGTGACCTGCTCGCAGCGAGCGAGGCCGGAAATATGAGTGTGCTGCCTGATGAGGGTGATGGCTTCAACCCACCTGGCTTGAGGTCGAGTGAAGAGTAATCAAGCCTTGATCCGTTCTTGTCAAAATAGTCCTGGCGCGAACTTGTTAATCCTGCCAGTAAGTAGTAAGGGTCAACACCGTCACAGTTTTGAGATTCATATGACAGCCCACCATTATCTAGTCCGAGTATTATCCGTTGTTCACTTCAACAAAGCCTGCACGCTCCGCAGCAACGTCTGATAAATTTGACTTTTTAGGGCATATTATCACTTTCTGATGGCTGATAGGGCCTAGTATTGCGCCTATCAGTTGTTTCCCCCACCCCTCCCCTCCCGGGCTGCCCCACCCAAGATGTGGGGATTGGCACAAATCCCCACCCCTTGGGCAAAATTTAAGTGACAATCCCCGACCATGCCCCGACTTACATACGTGGGGCGCATTAGCATGATTAGTGATTGCCTTTCCATTAGTACGCCAATGTTAACAATGTAATTTGAGTGACCAAAATCCCCACCCTGGGGCATGAAAAACGTGTCCAAATCCCGACATCTGACCTGGGGTAGCGCAAGGGGGGGGGGGGTGAGGGTTGCGGGAAACATTTGATAGGCGCATAATATACATTTTTTGTAAGTATTAGTATACTAATTACTAAGAAAATCATTAGGGAAAAATTGGCGATCGTGTAGTGTAGGGCCCCTGTTTTGTTTTGATCAAATAAGAGTCAAAATTGTTTTTTATTGCTCAAAAATCACCTTTACAATCAAAAGCAGACTTTTCTCAATTCTAATGACACCCGTTTTGCAATTTTGAACAGATTCTTAGGGTAGAAATCACGATTTTCCTGCGCGGTTTGTGCCTTGCGATTCAGCGCGTTGTGCGGTACGTCGCGCGGTGATCGCCATCTTTGTTTTCGGGTCGCGTGTTGTCGCCGCGCTTTCATCGTCATTTTACCCCCAAATTTCCCTCAAAAAAATAAAAACCCTGCCCTCTATCTATGACATACCTGTTTATTGAGAATGTTGCCAACTGGTTTGGTAGGTCCAATAATTTTAAAGTGGATTTTGTTCCCTTATAGGAACCGGGCCCTATACTTCACGATCGCCGAAAGATTCCCATATCTCGCCGTCACTAATTTTTCCCTTCAGTGACCTATCAGCCATCAGAAAGTGTTCAGGGAAAAATTCCATACTGGGACACAACTTTACCTGCTGCTAAACACATCAATTTTCACCTCACCTTGTGATTTCACCCAAGAGGAATCCAGGAAGCTGTGTTAATGCGAAAAAAAATTAGGCAAAATGTGTTTTTAGAGCCCATTTTGGATGCACACGTCGTGCAGAACTAAGTTGAAGCAGCCCGTCAAAACTGATTGAGTGGCTAAAAGACAGCGGTACGTTATACGCATGACATCGACAACCATGACGTCGCATGAGCCAGCCAATGATAGTGCAATACGTCATTATGAATATTTATTTTCTCATGAATATTTAGCTTATTTCAATGGCTACTTCAAATACATCCAAAGATTGATTATTGCAACAGCGATCGTGCGCGGCCTAGCGGTTAAGAGTCTCATGTTTCAAGCAAGAGTCCGAGGTTCGAATCTTGATGAAGTAAGTGACTGATTAATAAATAGGAATAAGGAAAGGAGAGGGTGAGAGTAGAGGATGGAAAGTGGAGGGAATAACCATAAAGGATACAACTTTTGGCGCTTGAAAATTAATTGAAAAAAAGTTGTGGCCCAGTACGGAATTTTTTCCAGTGTTAATAATAATATTAATATGTCCTAAAAAAGTCAAATTTAGCAGGGAAAATATTGAGGTACTTACTGAGAAAAAACAATTAGAAATTTTCAGACGAGTCTACTACTAGTCAATCATACAATGATACAGTTTGTGCACAGGGTGACAAGTCAAGTGATGGCCAGCACAGCAGATAGGCCTATGCCATATGGCATTGTATGGGAATCTTTCAAGTTGACTTTGCATCCTTGCTATATGGTCTGATCTACGGCATCAAAAGCTTGAAATGAGTCAATTGGCTTAACTTATAATACCTCTTACTTAGTCAGTGTGCCCCCGTGCTACCATCCTCATCCAAAATCTCAAGAAAAGTTGAAATTTCTTTCCAAAGCAAAGGTTCACACACGGATCAGTTAAGGATCACCCGAGTCAGTCACTTGATCACTGATCATGAGTGCTAAGAGAGCGCCCTCAATTGTTAGGAAGTTTGGTGGGATAATAGGATCCGCAGTGACCGTTTTAGCCAATTTTCGGCTAACTTTGACAGATTTTTTTTGTAAAAAAAAAACGAGTTTGACAGAAAATTTGACAGAATGGATTTTTTGGGCAGATTTCTGGCAGAATTCGGCAAAAATGGTTATTTGACCTAAAAAGATAGCAAATTTGAAAAAAAAGGTAGATTTGTGTAAAAATGCTTCAATCTTTTCAAACAAACCCTTGCAAAATAGGACAGGTTGCCTTGTCTATGTGCTGAGGTTCACCTGGAATCGGATTTCGTTGTGACGCAACCTCGTTTTGACTGAAATTTACGCTATTTCATAACACCTTATATGACTACATATACATATAAACATTATTACTTATAATGTAATTTGAAGCTTTTAATTAAGGTAATAGTACAACATCTGCATGTGATTTTAAATGTTTATAGTGTATTTCGAGTAATTCATGGGAATTTGGCAGATTTTTTGATAAATCTGACAGATTTTTGAAGTGCATTTAGCAGAATTTGGCCATGACCTTACGGTCACCCTGATAGGATCTGCTGGGTTTCGCCTTTCGCTCATACCCCCGCCCAGCTTTGCAGGGCGGCGGGGGACAACTTGGTTTCGCCTTCGCCTCCTGTTTGCAGGGGGCGCGGTGTGCACCTCACTGACGAGGGGAGGTTTCGCCTCAGTTTGAATATCACGAGCCTCGACTCCGTGTAAATGACTAAACGAAATCATTATTGAAATGATTTATTTATCATAATTCATGAAACATGATATTCCATTCAATGTTCAAACACTTTCAACAGAGGGACGCTCAAAAATGTTTTTATATTCTAATTATGGTAACTCATGTGGATGTGATTTTCTACGGATGCCAAATTTCCAGTGGGGGGGGGGGGGGACTGGGGGAGAACTTTTTTATGGGGGGCGTGCGCCCCCCCCCCCCCCCCCCCCCCCCCCCCCCCCCGAGCAACGCCGCTGCGGAGAGGATGCCAGATGTAGATTCGATGAAATCACGATGAAATGTCTCGAATGGCCGTGTTGCGCATACGATTCGATGGGCATCCCGGAGCCTGGAAATCAAGGACCGCTTTGCACGCAAAGGATTCAGGAGATTCCGATAAACCGGCAAAATTCTTCACGTTCGTATCGGGTCCGTGATGTTTTCTCCCTCGAATTTCATGGGAATATCTGTCATTCCCGTGCCATCCTGTGCCCAAAGAAAGTTTTTGGATAATCCTATGTAAGTACTGAACATGCAGGTGCTCAACTTCGCGATTGCAGAATGGGAATGTCTTCATCCGGGCTTTAAAATGGCGATATATACACCGCCATAATTATGTCGTTGCCATGTCTATACATTCCATCTTCAATAATCGCGACGTTTAATGAGCACTTGCATGTTCAGTACTTACATTTGAGGTTATCCAATTCCGTTGGCATAGGATATTTCATTCTTACGAAATTTGAGGGGAAACAGCGACCAGATACGAACGTGTACAGCGCGTCCCAAAGTACCCGCATCATTTTTTTTTTGCGAGGCTCTAGCGTCGCCGCGGAAACACGTACCGCCATTATTTTTTCATTTTAAAGCTTGGAATCTTAAATTTATCTCTGGTTAGTATTAGTTTGATTTTTGAAAGGGTTTTGAAATGATTTGTGTTCGAATAAAGGCATGTCAAAAACAAAAACAATCGATTTCAAGGAAAACCAATCATGCTCATTTTTTTCTAATGTGGAAACGGTTCATCATGTTCACGATGTGACGATCTCTTTGCCTTTTACTTTCTGTGTTTCCTATTCTATTCGATCCATGACGTGGCGTATCCAGAGGGGGGCAGAGGAGGCACTCTGCCCCCCGGCGGATTTTTTTCACAACATTTTTGTTCAGCAATTATTCCAATAAATGGTTAAAATGGTTATAGAGAGTTCTGACGTCAATCCCAAAAAAGAAAACCCCCTCAAAAACCATTACAATGCGCCATGAACTTGTATATAATTTGCAGTACACATACTTTTTTGGTCAGTTTTTGAAGAGCGCCCCCATTTGGAAGGTGGGTCCCCCCACCCCCACCCCCACTTTTTGAGTTTACGGAGGCCAAGTGTCCGGAGAAAAAAAAAGAGTCAACCTTTCGGCGCGGACGGTGCGGTTGCCCCCTGACATCCATAGCTGGATACGCCACTGATCCACGTATAATAAATAGACTGCACCTTAAATGAATTCACAATATTGTTCTTCGTTTCATGTTCAATCTTGAAATTCACGTGCAAGTATGTATCTATTCAAAAAGCGCGCTCAAAGTGTGACTCGAGTTTGTGACATCATCGATTTTCCTTGAAATCGGTTGAGTTTGTTTTCGACATACCTTTATTTGAACAGTTTCAAACTCATTTAGATATCAAACCAATACTCGCCAGGGATAAAGTTCAGATTGCGAGCGTTAAAATGGTAAAAAAAACAAACAATGGCGGTACGTGTTTCCGCGCACCGACGCTAGAGCCTCGCAAAAAAAAAGTTGCGGGTACTTTGGGACGCGCTGTAGAATTTCTGTTTATCGGACTTTCTGGATGGTCAATCACGCCCTTCTGAATGCTTTGCGTGCAAAACGGTAGGAGCCTTCAAAAGTCTCAAAAGTTTAAACATTTATTTGAAGAAAATATCCATAATTGCAGAGCGCAGTTACTCCTTTCAACACTCTTTAGAATTTGAAAAAAAAAATCTGTTTTCCGTCCCCCTCCGTAAAATCAACAATTTTCATCAACACTCACTCTAAGGTTGATGACTGTATAACTGGCAAAGAATACCAACTTCCAAGAAAACATAATAGAGTGAAAAAAAATCTCAAGATATCACCAGCAGAGCCCAATAATGGTCATGGCACTGCTTAACAGTTAGCAAAAAATGTAATGAAAGGAAATTGTGTATATGCTTACGGTTGCGCGCGCATGGAGATTTCTATATTTAGGCAACTGATTATTAAAGCAAATTGTTTCCTCTGGGGTTCAGCATGCTTTTGCTAGGTTCACTGCCTCGCAAAAACTGCCCTGGGTTGAGATTTACCCCAAGACGTCTGGCATCGCAGCTCTGCATGTTTTATAAAATCCAACACAACTTAGTAAACATCCAATTTCCACATATCATTCACCCGGCAACCTACTTCGGCAGACATGATCACCAGCTCAAATACAGCATTCCACAAGCAAACATGGACAGCTACAAATATTCTTTCTACCCACGTACCGTATACGACTCTGGAACCGACTGTCATCATCAGCAGTTTTGTCACCTTTTAGGCTAGCTGTCGGGCAGATGAGGCTTCCTATGGGTGCTAATCTGCTGTAGTCCATCAACCCATTGTTTCACCCAGCACCCTTACTATATATTCTTCGTCTTGGTTGGCCACCTTTCCTGTGGGTGCTAATCTGCTGTAGTTCATCAACCCATTGTATATATTGCACCCTTATTATATATTCATCGTCTTGGTTGGCCACCTTTCCTATGGGTGCTAATCTGCTGTAGTTCATCAACCCATTGTATATATTGCACCCTTATTATATATTCATCGTCTTGGTTGGCCACCTTTCCTATGGGTGCTAATCTGCTGTAGTCCATCAACCCATTGTATATATTGCACCCAGCACCCTTATTATATATTCTTCGTCTTGGTTGGCCACCTTTCCTGTGGGTGCTAATCTGCTGTAGTTCATCAACCCATTGTATATATTGCACCCTTATTATATATTCATCGTCTTGGTTGGCCACCTTTCCTGTGGGTGCTAATCTGCTGTAGTTCATCAACCCATTGAATATATTGCACCCAGCACCCTTATTATATATTCTTCGTCTTGGTTGGCCACCTTTCCTGTGGGTGCTAATCTGCTGTAGTTCATCAACCCATTGTATATATTGCACCCTTATTATATATTCATCGTCTTGGTTGGCCACCTCTTTCTTTCTTTATTTTCTTCATGCACCTTTGCCTGTGACGTCACATCTGCACCAAATCCCAGTGTAGGCTAGCAGTTTGCTGAATAGGGATCACACCTTTGAAGATTGAAGACTGCTGCTTACAATCTCCATGAAATTAGACGGAGGCTCTGTTAGCAGCAAAATCGTGTGCTTAGCAGGGGGTCCGCTCATAAGTCTGACGCCTCATAAGTCCGAAATTAAATTTCGGACTTATGAGGGGTCGGATTTATGATGCGTCGGACAAATGAGGCATAACATTTATTTATTCCGCCTCATATAGGTCCGACACCGCATAAGTCCGACGCCTCATAAGTCCGAAACTGCGTTTGTTCATTATCGGACTTATGAGGTGTCGGACCTATGAGGGGGAATTTATGCGTCATAAGTCCGATGCCTCATAAGTCCGAAATTTCGGACTTATGAGGCGTCGGACCTATGAGGCGTCGGACTTATGATACGGCCCCCTTAGCAGCGCCATAAAATTGAGCCCATTTTTTTAAACAATGGCCCTGTCATAATATTAACTTTTCACAAAACTTAACAGCTAACTCAATAATTATGTCACAATATTGCCATTTGCATGAAAAATGCATTATTAGATTAGGCTTTATTACTCACTAATTCTGTGCCACTCATTTTATTTTGTCATACATGTAAAACAGATTTAACAGCATTTGGCGTTTCATATTTGAAATGTTTCATTATGTGTCCTTCCTTTTACTTTCTTCTACAATTTAATAATGTTGAAATAGTTCACTCTACAACCCGATAACCATATTGAAATCCAACTCCTACAATGACACCAACTTCTGCTCAATATTAAACAAAACCACTCTATTTTTTTTCCAGGTCAAAATTTATTCGACACCCTCCAATGCTCTATGCCATTACAATCCAAGGCATTTCCCAATGCCCAACATCTTCACATTTGAACCAAACCACGAGAAGTTCACTTTATCTTAGTTACAATTACATCATGTACGTGCGCTAAAAAATTAAGCATGCTCCACTTTTCTATTGCAACATTTTCTCGGGAGTATATTCCACATTTTGTAACTGCCCCCGTTGCCCCCCCCCCCCCCGCGACGCTTATGTGCTTCAGAAAAGTTTGTGCAAACTAAACGGTTCTACGTAAAATTCAAGTCATGGACCCAGCAGTACGTGCATTCGTGTGTAATTGTCTACAATTCGTTACTTTGTTTAAACACATACTGTGGTTTATGTAAAACGTGCTCAAAACCCACTAAGTATGTGCAAGTATGTCTGCTGCGATGGGACTAAAACATTCCAAGTAGATTGTCAACGCTTAAGTTGAATGTACGCAGGTTATTATGAGACGATGTACGTCACGGAGTCCATGGTGTCGTGCCTCTGAAAAAGTCATGTGAACAGTCCTCAACCAATGCAATTTCTTATAACCATATCGAATATTGACCTACCGATTATAACTTGAGAAACCGTTCGCAGAAACTCAACTTAATTTGGAGTGGAGCAATGCTATGCTTATATGGATGAATTTGGTATGTCGTCCAGGTTTTCCTCGGACTTTTCACACTTAGGTCTACTTCTCTCAGTCACTTTAGAGGACACTGACATGTCACCAAGCGTCGGTCGTTCCGTGTCTTCTCTTCCACGCCGGCAGGTGCAGCCGAACGCCTGTAGGAAGGCCTCTCGGTACCTGATGTTTGTGCCGCTGTAGATGATGGGGTTGACAGCCGAGTTGAGGAGAGACAGGAAATAGGTGACAGGAACCAAGAAGGGGGCATCAGAAGGCTGGAGGACCTGACCAGTAGCCGCAGACAGAAAAGACAGCAGGTTGAGGGTGAGGACGCGAGGGGCTTGAAGCACGAAGAACACGATGCTGTTGACGATCAGCATGCGGGCGACTTGATTGCGGACCAGTCGACTCTTGGCATCGGTGTTGGAGGCAGATCGGCCGACGGCGCGCCGCCCCAATCGACGGACAATCTTGTAGTACAAGAAGCTGTTGACGATCAGCCCCAGAAACCAGACTACGACGTACAGGCAGTGAGCGTAGACGGCAACCCAGGGCTCGCCGGCCGTGCAGAACGACACGGTGTCTGGAAGGGAGTCGTACTGGCCATTGTCCGAGTCCGGCCACAGGACGCAGTAGACGCGCACGGTGATGAAACGCGAGCAGACGGACAGCGCGAGCGCTACAGACACTGTCCAGAATACCACCAGCAGGGCTGTAGTTCGTCCAGGACTGCTGGCCTGTCTGCTCTGCAGAGGACGGCAGATCGCGTAGAAACGCTCCAGGGCGACCAGAGTCACGATGGCGTTGGAGGCGAAGTTGGGAATGTCGAATGAGAAGAATAGTGCCGCGCACTCCAGCCACGACGACGTCTGGAAGTTGAAGACCACCGGGGTAGCGTAGTAGGACCAGCTGTAGAGACCCGGGTACAGGACCAGGCAAGAGATGTCAGCCAGTGCCAAGTTGGCCAGGTAGAAGTTGGTGATGGTCCGCATGTGTCGCACCTTGTAGATGGTGTAGAGGAACGCCAGGTTAGCCGGCAGACCGACCAGCCAGACGATAGGAAAGCCAATCCTCACGAGAAAGAACTCGGAGGCCGTTTGGAAAAATCTATTCCTCGTTGCTTCATCATTAAAATCAAGCAAGCCGGCAACTTCGTCACAAAAATCAGACTGGTTCAACGCAGCCATGCCGAGAAATTCTGAGGCTGTGTACTTGCACAATTCACCAAAAGCAAAACTTACGATGCTGTAAAAATATGATTATGGGTGCGGGAGCCAAACGGTCAAGTGATCATGTGTACTGCATGTACTACGGCTTTATAAAGAGCCTGAAAGTTCACCCCTGGTAAATCTTTACAAAGACAGATAGAGAGGGCAATAATTTAAGAGACGATCAGTTTGACGGTCAGTTTCACAGAGCGCCTTTCTGATTGGCCAAAGAATTGCAGCCTTAACGCAAAAGGATGGGAAACCACTGCGAATGGATGCAGTTAATTTTCCCCACGCAGGCGAATTGAATGTGAATTATATGTGGTCCTAAATTTGTTCAGTTGTTTTCCTTTTTTATCTCTCATTTTCTTACATTGCTACTTTAACTTTTGCAGGCGCGGATCCAGACTCAATTCTATAGAAAACATTAAAAATAATGCGAACACCCCCCGGTGCTGAAACTTGTCCGGAATGATCGAATTTGCTCTTAGTGTCGCATTAATTTACAAAAGGGCGCTCTTCTAGACGTCCATTGGTTACTCATGTCTGACATCAGGTGCAGTTCGACTTTTTAAAACTGTTGGGGCAAAACATATTCGAATAATTTGTCACGTTCTCAATCTTAACTGAAAAGAAAGGGACACAAGAAAGGCGTTTTTTATAACTATTAAGAGTTAAATTTCTCATTGGGATATAGTCGCGAGGCCATCGGATGGCAAAACAGCTTAACTCATTTGAAGCAGTGTTGTAGTCGAGTACTTTTTCCGAGTACGAGTACTTGCACTTCCGAGTACAAGGACAGGTCTCCGAGTACGAGTACTCATACTCGTACTTCCGAATGTAGCCATATGGCAAATGGTTCATTGTGCATAGTGGCCGAATCCCTGTCAGACTGATATACAGACCCAATCACCGCTGGCTGTTAAATTTGTTTATCCGGACGTGCACAGAGGAAAATCAGGAAACTTCGATTTCTCCGCAAGCCAACCAACCATATTAAACTGAAAGTATCGATAAAATAAGGCCGTGGTATTGTCAAGCTATACCAGTTTTTTCTCGAGTACTGCTGTTCGAGCACTGCTACTCGAGTACGAGTACTTTAATGATGAGTGCAATTTCGACATGTTGACTACGAGTACTTTGCTGCCCGAGTACGAGTACTGTCATTTCGAGAACGAGTAGTGCTTTGCCATTCGAGTACGAGTACGAGTTCGAGTAGTCTAAAAAAAAGTACTCCAGTAGCACTCGAGTACGAGTACCGAGTACGACTACTACAACACTGGTTTGAAGATAGCATGACCTATCTGACACTCTTTTAAAAAATGTTACCCGACTTCTTGATGGCGTCTTCAGTTTTCACGGTAAAACAAACTAACTCCGCTCAGTCCAAGGAAGATAGACTATTAGGGCCTATGCAAACAAAATACCCCAAACGGAAGAAAAATTTAGCATTACACATAGCATTAAGTCTAACTTAAGATATATATTGTTTTCACCAACAACTTATTAGAGTTAAGTATTTTTTTATAATTTACGGCCAAGATTTTTGATTCACAAACTATTTCCGAAACCGTCAACCATTTAATATTCTCAAAATTGAAGAAATGTAAAGCACAATATTCCTTATAATCACGCATTCATTCATTTACCAACCCAGTCATCACAAAAAGGCAAATATGCGAACTTCGATTCAATTTCTCAAAATGTTTTTTTTTTGTTCAAGTGTATTATACGTTTTGCCGTCCAAGGGCCGCAAGCTCTGCTGTCATTATTATTTTCACAACTATTTTTAAAGCCCTTTAAAACTTGTGTCAAGAGAATAGCAGATACGAATCCGTTTCTTGAAAGTGGAAAAAAACACCCATCAGATGCACTGTGTGTTGACCCTCCTGACTCGCAGCGCAAGGAACATGGGCCATTAGAAATCGATCTATACGGTAGACGCACAACACTCTTAAAAACAGTCTCGATAACATCACCATTTTACGTGTTTAGTTCACGGGGCACGCTATCGTGAAAATCCATCTCGCGTGAGATTGTTGAGATGGGTCCGGTCTGGTGAAGCGGCAAGTGTTTTTTCTTTTCCGGAGCGCACGTACCGCACCGTCCGCACGCCATTCGCTCGTTCGTACTCGCTTCATTTTCTAATGGTCACCATTATCCGCCCAACTTTGTGTACACCCACGACGCGTTGTAGCCGAGATGGGTGCAACCCTGCAAAAAAATTCCCATAGACACTAGTGCTAAATGCACATACTTCTAAACATTCAACTTTCTTTTAAAAATACTCAGAACTCTCACAGCTATTCAAGCGGCACAGAAAAATGATGATCAATGTGTCATCTTTCATTTCCTTTTCATTTTTGGGTGGGTTGACCATTGACTTTTCGAGATATTCTCACCCAAAGAAGACGACCCTTATTTTCCCCAAAGCGGACAAGTGGCCATTTTGAAAAACGATCCCTCCACAACATGGCAAAATAGCGTCACTTTCGAGCCCAATAGCATCCAAAATGCTCAGAGTTGGAAGCCCCAAGTCCGGGCCAGAGGTTCATTACCATATCTCTTCAATTCCCCAATTTTATGGCTCTCAAAACTCTCTAATATAGAATATTTTGAGGGTATAACTTTTATTCATGAGCTCGGCGGACGGATTTTTGGCCTATTTACAGGCCTGCACCCAGATGGACTTTTCCTTCACAACTGTCCCCTCACTGTAGGAGACCTATGGTCTCTGGAAGGGACTCATAAACAGCTCCAGCAGGAAGCTCCTTTTTCTTTTAAACAACTGTCTGGGGGTATTTACTTTTCTATGGGAGCACAGTTTATGGTCGCCCTTGAGTGGAGACTAGTACCATTCTGCGCGCGCCTCGAGGTCCAGGTGAAATGACGTGAACTTTGTCTTCCACTTGGCGCCTTCTGAGACAGCCAGTTCCTCGTCGATCCAGTCATTCAAGAGGTTGTAAAAGGGAGACTTTTAATTTTGTTTTTGACTGTGCCATTCTGAAATCGGTCTTAATGGTGTCTGGATGAACCAACACGGATGGTGGAGCAGGTCCCTGCCATAAAGTATAGACACGGGAAAGAATTTTTTTCTTTTATCGTGTCCATCCAGTACCCGGCAAATGGGAACAACATGGCGCAGCAAGATCGTACCCATGGGAACGAGGTTGATGCTGCATACATATAAACATGCGTTTGGGCTGCTGGTGTCAGCCTGAGGTACTAGGTCAACGCGCACAAGCGGGATACGCGGTAGGGCGCGCGCAGGCAGTTGCCGTGCAGATCTCAAGTGTGGCGGCTGTAAGCTTCGCTCGTACCTATACACGGTATGCACCGCTCAAACAGGGCGCTGGGAAGGACTGATTTTTGTTGTTGGATGTATGACGTGATTTCTTCGAGCCCTCATTGGATATAATCTGTTTGAACGATAACACGGGTCAAGCTTTCAGCCTGCGCATGACATGTGCACACAGAATGTACGTGCATTGGAGGCAGTAAGCTCCCCACAATGCCTTGCGCGCCTGTGTTTCTCCACAAAATTTTGTGAAAGAGATTAGCCCTTCCCAGCACGTTGTTTGTGCGGTGGGTACGAGCGAGCGTTCAAGCTGGCTCCGTGAAAACCGAAGCTCCAGATTCGAATAAGTGTTGTTCAAGATTACTGGGAAAAAACCTACAAGTTAGCTCACCGATTAATTGTGTGTTCCTTGTTCTGAAGAAGTGACTACAAAGCCATTGGAATTTTGTGTCTATAATTGTGCCTTATATTTTGTCCGTTAAACCCCGAAAATACCTATACTATTTGGTTGAATTTTAATCTTAACTTGCTTATAGTTTGATATATATAATATCATGATGATGTCACCAAAAGTTCCACCACTTCGAACTACAGTTTATGTTCATACCAAGTTTCATCCTCTTCACTTGAATAATTTTCGTTTGATTTGAGGCTTCTGTTTGCCTTTTGAATTCACATAACTGTGACTCTGGTAACCCCTGGTAACCCTGGAAGGAAACATGAGGCTAATTTTCCTTCGGAAATCAAAAATATCCATTAAGGCATGGTCTATCAGATCACAAAGTACGGACATGATTTTTCTCCATGAGTTACAAATGAACGAAGACGGTCATTTTGTAACTAAAATCACTTGTAATTTGAACCTGATGACGTCATCATGATGTCATAGAATATGCGCACGTTGGGATAAGGGTGGATTTTTGTTCCAAGTTTTAAGTTTATACCATGCACCATTTAGAAGAAAAGTGGCGGAGAATTTACCTCAAAAAAAAGAAAGGAAGAAAGAAAAACTGGAACAATTTCAAAACGGTGACCGGGTGGCACCCGATCACCCAACAATCAAGAACAAAGGAAAATGCTAGTTATAACTATGTCGACGCCTTACAAAAGGGTAGTACTGCAGTAGTGAAGTTTTTGTTTCAAGATCTTAACCAAATGTGACAAGTTTGAAACGCCTCCTTCTTATTCTTATGACCACTAATCCAAGCGGCGTGAAACACTACCGTTGTACTGGTGTCTTCTCGACACTTTTCCATGTTAGGCAAAAATGGAAAGAAAAAGTGCCCGTTTGGAAAGTTTTTGTTATTCAGGTGCTTAATGCGAAGGGCTGGAAAGAGCTGAGATCGTATTATCGTGTTCAAGACATCCTGATCCATTTCAAGTGTCTTCTGTGTCTCCAAAGTCCTAACGAAGTGTTTCAAGAAACGGAGAGTCTGTTCTGTTGGACGGTAAAAGGCCAAACCCGCATTGTATATGTCAAACTTATCACTATGGTAAGCGATATCGAAATCGCCTTCGAAGTAAGGAAAAGGGTCTCGGAACCAGAAAGTGTCGGCATCAAGAAAAAACACTTCATATCCACGCTGTACAAATTCTAGTATATATGTCGGTCTGCGATTGACGAATTTATTGTAGTCACCGGTTCCATACTGAAGGTAGCGGACGTTCTTGCTGTCCATTTTGACACCACTGATGTCGTGTGGTTTAATGACTTGCAGTCCCGGATGAGGGTGCAACGATAGCTCCTTGAACGATTGCTCATCTTCTGCGATCACTACGACGTCGGGACGAGCACTTGTTCTCTCGATGCTCATCAACAAGTTATGGGTGAAATCCAGGAATGCTTCGTTGGTTGTGGTCAGGACGAGTCTTGGAACATGCAGAAGCTTGGTTGTAGGCACAGGCTGTGCAGGCAAGGACTGTAGGCCCATTGGATTACTCGACTGCTTGGATGACAACCAAACAACTGTGAAGAGGCAAGTAATGATGTGCGCACAGGTCAGGTCATAAGTGTACGACAAGGGTGACTACAGTCTATGTTCCCGACACCCCTATGTACCCCTGTGTTCCGACAGCCCTATGTTCCGGTTAGGGTTAGGGTTAGGGTTAGGGTTAGGTGTGTGTCGGAACATAGATGTGTCGGAACACAGGTGTGTAACCATCCAAAGTTTACCTACAAGAGCAGGGATGAATACTAACTAATAAGGAATGCCTTTGTCACACAGCATTTGAAAGGTTGTAATTTGGTTTGGCTATGGAGGACTTATGAGGATTCGTGATAGACTCGAGTTTTACCTCGAATAAAAGACTCATTTTTCCTATTCCTATTTGTTTTTAGCAAAAGTTATCTTATTGAATGAGCCACCCGGCGAAAAAAAAATTGGTCCACGTTTAATTAAGGAAAATAATCAAACTTCAAATTATAGATCTTCCCGTCCAATTTTGCAACACGTTCATTCAATCAGATTATCATAAAAACGGGCAAGTGTTTTCACACTCGATTCAATTTAATAAGTGGAAGGTAGGCAGCAAATCACGTAACTTGTGAATTTCTTTCGTGGGCTTTGGATTCAGTCATGCTCACTTTACAAAAGTAACCGTTCAATGAAATTGGGCGGTTGAATAAGCAAGAAATTACGGTGTTATGTTACATGTAAAACAGGATCTAAAATGACACGGCTTTTAATGGAATGTACTTTTGAAGGAATGTGACTTACAACGGAACGTACAACTATTTCAATGACATTATGAATGCCTGGGATGGAACAAAGAAAAATGCACTTCAGAACTTAAAAAATATGTAAAGTATCAAAGTGATATATATTATAATAACGGAGTCTTATATAGCGCACGTATCTACCAACAATTAGTACTCAAGGCGCTGGAAATTATGTCTCCCATATTATGTTTTGTACGCGAATTGGGGACCTTCTGGAATTGGAGACCCTATTTTCCTCTATTGTTCAACATCCCCTATTGTATGCAGAAACAAACTCACACACACAAATCACAAAAGGCATTTTTGAAAACATTCATGCGAAATCGAATGGTATTTAACTGCGAATTGAAACCGCATTCGAAACTGACTCTCTGAAACCTAATGAAATGTAATGAACATTCTGTCAGATCGAATGAACAAGTTACGAAATCGGACGGGAAAAATCCATATTTGCGACTCGACAATAGGTAAGCTCTGGCAGGGTAGACTGGTTCCCGCTTCCCCCATCGAAATTGGCAATGACCGGGACCAGACTACTCACAGAGCGAATTATGTTTGTGCGCAGAAGAAAATAAAAGCCTTGTTTCAAAGGATTACAGACGACCAATATAGAAACAAAAGGTGTTGTCGTTAAGATTTTGTCGGACAATTTTGGAAAATGTGCATTTGAATTTGTAAAACATAAATTCAATTTGGCGCTGATTTTGAGAACGACGTATATGTGGGTTTCATTTTCGCAATAACTAGCATTCGATTTCATGTTGTGTCATTCAAATAAATGAATGTGCACAACGTTTCATTTACAGGATTACAAATACGTGATTAGGCTTTCGGTTTGACGGATGCAATCTAATTCGCAAAAAAAAAAAAGATTTGTTATTGTGACACGGGCTGAATTGAACATTCTTTTTCATATATGTCATAATTTAAATTCGCAATGTTTGCATTCAATTTAGATAAAGTATACATCCTATACAAATCATGATACAGCTTTGACTGATTCATTGATTAATCAATGTACTTGTAGGCCTAATTGATCATTAATGTGTTAGTTGTTATGTACACAAAGGGCTATTTGAAATAGGCAAATGACATGTTAAAAAGATAAAAATCTTACCAAAATAAAATCAATCACAATAATCTTGTAGGCATATTTTTGGGACGGTAAAAGGAAACTTTGTTGTTTCTTTGTCTTATTTGCATTTTAATGTCTTTCTGTATTTCTTAAAGTTCTCTCTAATGTTATCAGTTCGATTGCTTGGTTATATGATGCGATTGTGGCAAATTCTGAGCAAAAAAGAACGATTGTCTTCATCTTAGGTTTTTATGTAGGATTTATTACAATAGTTGGCATGTTTTGAAAGACTACACCACTTTGGTTTAGCTCAATCATCATGAATATTAAAAAATTCAACCATTCAATCAAATATTCCTCATATGTTACTTTGTGAACAAATAAATGAATTCCGGTGCTTGACCAGGCATACGTTAAATCACAGTGCGCAGGAAATCGGCTGCACATTTAGCGAAATAGATTGATGATAAATTAAAATGAATAGAGATTGCGACGGGGCATTCGATTTCGCGCTAAAATGAAATGTCAATATACCAAATTCAGCGCACATTCGGGAAATCGTACGCTGATTTCTTACGACTGAATGCACCTTCATGGAAATAGAATTATCATTCGTTGAATAGAAACAGGGATTTGAAACGTTCATTCTATTTCGCACGAAAACGAATGCTTCTTTCACATATTCTTGTACACATTTTCCGAAATTGTCCGGGAAAACCTAGATTAAACATAAAAGTTAAAAAAAAACATGTTCAGAGGGAAAATTCGAATTCGTTAAACAGCTCGGATAGTCATCTTTCACTTGAGTGTTATAATTGGTTTGGTGCGTGCGCACGCGCTCCTTATGGACTGCCATTTTAAACTGCTACATGTGCCTTGAAAATAAACTTACACCAAAAACACAAACGTAAATTCAAAACAGCGATTAAGATTTGAATAAACTTACTGCACAAAGTGACACTGAGAAAGCCCCAAGCTGTGAGGAGAAAATACGCTCGTGTAGCTGAAGGATTCTTCATGGCTCCCGCTTCCGAGGCAAAACGTTAGGAAACTAAAATTAGGGAAAAAATGAAAAGAAACTTGAACAGAACAGAATATTTACAAATGTTTCATGTGTTGTCTTTGGTTCAGAGATTGCAACGTGCCTCAGGCAAGGGCGGATCCAGAACATTATGTTTTTGGGGGGAGGCCCAAAAAATAAATTTGGTTCCCAAAAATTGGGTCCAAAAATTACGGCGTGTGGTGCGGGGCCTGCTCAAGGGCCCCGAAAAAAAATTGGGACTCTAGATGCTCTGTGGTGCGATCTGAGGCAATTTTTGACCACTTTAACATTTTCTTTTTGAGGAAAAGATGGTGGAGTACGCTGTGCCTGCCTTTATTGCGACGTCACTTTAGAAAAAAATCTCACATGATATTTTTTTGGCACTGTTTGATTTTAGTGTAGCTGGTTGCAAATCAACGATGCTCAGTCATTGATACAAGCGAAGTATTTTTGTAAAGCTGCTAAACCACCTTAAAAGATTCAACCGAATATTTGTTCAAATTGTAGGTTTTCCTGTAATATTTCACACTTTGCTCATTCGGTCATGCAAAAAGGCAAGCGTTTTTACACCACTTTCAATTTAGCGAAAGTTCAAAACATTTCAGGTTATCTTCATTCACTTGCAAAAAGTAGGCAGCATATTATGTAACTTTTGCATTTAATTTCGTCAGCTTATAGGGGATTTCAATTCCGCTTGGGAATTCAATTTGGCGCATTCGTTTACAAAATTAACACGTGTTTAATGAAATTGGGCAGTTGCATTTGCAAGATATTTTAAACATGTAATTTAATAAAGGAATGTATAGCTATCTCAAAGAAAAAATAGAAGGAAATATTAGAAAAAATGCTTAACGGAAATAAAAAAAAAATGTAAAGGGTCAAAGTGATAGAAGTAAATAAATGTTGGCCGAAAAAATACTGTGTAAAAAGACAGATTTTGATATGCCGACCAAGAGACCAGTTTGTTATTGGTATGATCACTTTGTGGAAATGTCCCCTAAATAAAAAGATAATCAAAATCCTATAAATTTCTGTCAACGAAACTGATAATTTTATCACCAATAAGAATTCTATTTAGCGACATGTAAAATGCCAAATTAAATAGACTCCAAATTCCATTGCACTTTCGTTCAAAATGAATAGGCTTACCGGTATTTAAAATTCGCCGACTCTGTTCAAAATTTAAAAAAAAATATATATATAACGAACAAACGATTGTGATTTTCTTGCTCAAATTTTTTTTACCACATCTGAAAACATTTAAAAGAAATCGATTGGTCTTATTGAAAACTAGAAACCGTATTCGCACCCGACTCTCTGAAACCTCTCCCTGTGTTTCTCCCTATGTGACGCACTTTTATTATAGGTTTTCCCGAAAAAAAAATTTAAAACATTTTTTTCATTCAAATTTACCTCTAACATTCAATTTCGTCCGAGACAAATTTCACACGCTTTTAACAAAACCATTTTAGTCATTTACCATTCAATTTCAAAGCACCCTCTTTAGACACCGGGTCGAGAATATTCGTCATTACAGATCAAATCCGTCCAAGCTGTTGCCGAATGGCAGCATTCAGAGATCAAATTCGTCTTATATAAATCAATTAGACGAATTTGATTTCCGAATAACACGGTTTGGCGTAAACGAGACGAAATCGAATACCCCAGGACGAAAACGTGTGCTCATTGTTTGAATTTGCTTGAACTGAATTTGAAGTCGTCTGACAAAAGACGAAATTAAACATTGAAAGTGCACTTAATCGATGTTCCTGGACGAATTTGAATATTAGAAACGGTGAATTATGATGATCAATGTTTTAAAATAGCCGGGAAAACCTATATTACAACTTCGATAAAAAATCTGCCAAATGAGACACGATTTTATAAGCTCACCCAGCTTTTGTCAACGTTGAAATCGAATCAATTGTGTGTTGACACGAGAGCAGACAGAAATGTCTCTGAAACCTCTGTGCGATTGAATGAACAATTTGCGAAATTGGAAGGAATCGGAAGAGATAATACTTTAATAGTTACCCCGAATTTTCCTCCGAACAAAGCTTCTTTATTACTCCTTTTGTGACGCGCTGTTTAGTAT